CGGCCATCGTCACTAATTTAGAGGTTGTTAAAACCAAACAAACCACTCTGGAACAGCGTGATCTTAATTTTTCTATAAGAGAAGAACCTGGCACCGCGCAGTTGAAGAACAAGAATATCCAGCCAACAAAGCTCTGGTACAACGTTAGGTCATTTTAACCGGTTACAATTCTTTTCGAAATTGAAGCGAAGCGGGGGCGTCCAGCTAGTCTTACATAATAGTACGGTAGCAGATAAGCGCAAGGGCAATGCTCCGATGACGTAATGTTGAATGACGGCTCGGTATAGTAAATACTATTGTTTTTAATGTTCGCCGTTCTCCGACCGGTTTTTGAAGCGAGTTATTATTTTTTGTAATCATAACGAGACGCGCAGATGTTGCTCTTTCGTTTTGTGTCTTATGCAGTAGGGATTAAGTGGGCTGGCTCGAAATGTGATAACTAAAGTATTGAAGAATTAGTCTATCCTATAAAAAAACTAGAGAGAGAGAGAATTATTTACTGTTTTTCTGTGAACTATATAGCTAAAATACGCCAGATAAATATGTATACTCACGGAAACTACTTGCTGTTGGCCAAATTTAGTAGAGTAAGTTTCGTTTTTATCGGAATCATCTAAACCCTTTCCTCTCTGTCCCTATCAAAACAAAGTAATTAAGCAAAGCGAATAAGGACAGAGTGGTAATAAAACAATGTATCAGCCTGACTCACTGTTGCGTTAACGTGTGGTCAGCGAAGTGCTTAATTGGACGTCTTCGGTTTGTTTAGACTAGTTTGATAGAATGTGTGGACATTTAGTACATTGCTTATGTCGACTGGTTTTCTATCGCTGCTCCCAAATCTATACTAATATTATAATACTGAATAGTTCGTTTGTTTGTTCGTTTGACTGGTTCTAATTAAAAGCTTTAACGTCAGCCTACGACCAATGGGAGCGAAGACACAATGAGAAAGTGGAAGAAACGGGGAAAATTATTTATTTTTATTTGGATTTCCGTTACGTCCGCTGCGAAAACGATCCAAGACCATTTAAGGCTTAGACCACATCAAACTATAGTTTTTTTATGGCAACGTAGTTATAACTTTTTGCCAGTGTCATGTGAAATAGACAAAATTTTAAATAGATAGAGAATAGATTTTAAATAGATAAAGTTATTTGGCCACGTGGAGACGTCTGCATGTGGCCACGACTGCTGCAAAACATCCGAAACGTCGAGCCGTAGTTAAAACAATTTTCAAATAAGTTTAATCATTATGCGTCGCGTTTTAAACCGTTGAAGTGTTTTATTTGAATTTGAACTACTCGCTTAAACTACAGACGGTATTTAGACAAAAATTGCGCATGTCATTCTACCTATAATATTTCGTGCTTTATGGTCTGACGTTTTTAATCGCCATCACTAAATCCAGTGTGTAGTAAATTAAACGGTGGCCTAACCGGTTAGGTTAATGGCAGCGAAACTCCGCTTCTTGATACACATGCTATAAAAATTATCCACACTCCCAGCAGGAAATGCCGGGAGCGTTCACACGATATAGTAAAAACGTAAATACCGCTGCTCCTATGATGATCTTAATTGTATTGATATAGTTGCTGCTGCATTCATAAAGGTGTTTTGTTATTCCACGTATTACATACTAGCAGTGACAGCGACTTCGTCCGCGTAAAGTGCGCGTTAGAATTGGTTCTCCGCCTTCATCCTGTCGGTCTTGCAAGGTAATCTTAAAAGATAGACATATAGTATTTCGGACATTTTTTTAGGTCATTAAAAGAGGAATCATTCTTTCATACTTATTTTCTAAGTATCTTGAAGCGTTTTCGCAGTACACGCAACGGAAACTGTTAAGGATAATAATTTTCCCGGTTTTTTTCACATTCCCTGCTGTTTCTTTGCTAATTGTAATCACAACGCTTGTTTTATAGCCTATACCTTTTAAATAAAACACTTTACCGGTTTAAAACGAGATATATTTGTTAAACCTATTTGAAAATGATTTTTAACTTCGGCCCGACGTTTCGGATGCTTGGCACTCCCCGTGATCACGGCTGCTGCACTACTCGCGTAAACTATAGACAGCCTATACCTTCCTCTAAATGCTCTAACCAACACAAAAATGTTTTTTCAATTCGAACCAGTAATTCCTGAGATTAGCGCGTTTATACAAACAAACTCTTCAGCTCTTCAACTCAATCATAAACTTCATATTAGTATCGACTAATTCGTTCTCTCTCACTTGACATAATCTTAAGCCGATCTTCGTTTACAATACGCCTTCGAACTTCGTGTATGCCGTAATTTTGCTTCCATTTTTGGTCATGCCCATCACCAATATTAAACGACTCAGCTGGCAATTTTTTGCCACTGGCCGTTTGGCATTGTTACCACGGCCTACCACGTTCCTTTCGGTTGTTGACTAATTGTCTGGAAGATTCTACCACATGTCCACTATGGCATTACGTCATTTAACACTTGTTAACCATATGGGATAAGTTTTTCGATGACTCGCCAGTTGCTAGCTGTGGCGGTGTATTTTCGGATGAAATGCGCTCGCGATTGATTCGGAAATGTTTAAATAATGCGATAGTTTCAAAAATTTTATAGGGCTCCGTAGCTTTACGAAAGGTAATTGCGGAACTATAACTAGACTTCGCTGTCTGTCTGTAACCATATACATGTGTTCTATCTATGGCTATGCCTCAAGAATAGCTAAACAGTGGAAATGTTGACAGCTTTCTATAGCCTCTATAAAAAATAGTATTTGTTTTTTTTGCTCAATTTAAGTCATAGCATACTCACTTTAATAAGAATCCTTACAATATGAAATTTTCTGTAGCCGTCTTTTAAATAAAACTTTTTTTTGGGTTAAATCACGAAATATATTAGTTAACTAATTAAGAACTTATTTTAATTACGGCCCGAAGTTTAAATAAATGCTGCGCATCATTCGAAACGTCGGAACTTTGTTAAATAACTTGTAAATAAGTATATTAGTAGTAATATTTCGTGTTTTGAACAGTTAAGTGTACTGTCAGCAATTTACGCGAGTAGTACACATTTAAATAAAAGAGTAACGGTTTAAAAGGCGATAATTATTAGTTAATTTTAACTACTTACGAGGTGATTTAATTTAAATGCGTACTACTCGCGTAAACTACAGACAATACTTAGCGTATTTTTTGCTCTTCAATTGAACGGAAACCTTCGCTCGCTAGTCAGACTCGTTCACTGTCGCATATTGCTGGACGGCTTACAGCTTACCTACTTCCAATATGTTTTACGCGAAGCCATGTCTGTAATCCCCAACGTTGATTGTATAATGTTACAGACTATAAAATAAGAATGGAGAGACGGCAATAAACTTTTAATTGTATAATCAAGACTCGGTCTTGAGTCGGTTCTGAAAGCAATTTTAACAAATATCAATTATGATGAAACAGGTGGCGCTAGTGTCGCAGATTTAAATTTGATTTATTTTTATTTCTTTCGTGACCACGTCGGGTCGTAGTTCAACAGAAGGTAACTATCTATATAATGTTTTGTAACCATGAATAATGTTCTAATTAAGAGCCAAGTGCGCTTACGAATGTAAGCATTAAATAATGGGCAATTTTTTACGTCTAGGTGGTCTTAACATCAAGATCATCGTGAGTTCGATTCTTTGGGTCCAACATATTTTTTGTCATTTATATAAATTAGATAAAAACTCCGCTCGGGTCTCGAACCACTGATCGAAAAACAAAGTATAAATCTGCGGTTCGGTTATGGACTTTAGAATATCGAAGCTAAAATAGGTCGACAGCACAAATTAATTCTATGTTGCAGTTTTATAATAAAAATCGTTTAATCGCTATGAATACGCGGAATATATCAATACCGACCTGTTAACTTGTCACTGTCCCCAGTCGCCTTTACTTATAAGATTAAATGACTCACAATTACTTAGTATTATTAATTTTTTCCAGTAATGACAGAGGAAATGGGACTGGTTCTTTAAATTATGCAGTTTCCTGTGACATGCCTCAAACCGTAAACAGTATTGCGTCATAAGTTTCGCGAAGTCGGCCATTATTTACAAACAAACCGATGAAAAAATGGTCTAATTTTTATATACTGTCAGTAGTTTACGCGAGCAGTATACATTTAAATAAAACACTGTAACTTGCAGCAGCAGTGGTCACGCGGAGACAAAAACATAATAAATAATTATACGAAGAGATAACTTTAACTAATATATATCGCGTTTTATACCGTTAAGGTGCTTTATTTAAATTGTTTAATTTTTGTACAACGCACAGAACATCTGCTATTATTAACTATAATAATACTGGTAACTTTTATCGCGAGCTTTCAATTCACCATTGTCGTTGTTCACAAATGTCGGAGAAAAAAGCACAATCTGGCAACCCCGCGATCGACCGTTCGCTGGCAGTCGACTCGCGCGGGGCGGGGACGCGCGCCGCGCCGCTGTCAAATCGAATTATTTCCCTCGGTAGCGATTCGCGTTAATTTTCGTTCGGAAAAGCTTCATTCTGAATTAATTGCGTTATCCACTAATTAATTAACAAACCAACGACTCTCATACACGAAACGCTACCTCTGCTCGGACTTTGTTTATTCGGGTGCCACAGCGGCCAGTGCTATTTACGTTTAGTAGTCCAGTTGCAGTAAAAAATATCTTCTTTTTGTGTCGAAATTTTCGATGCGGTGTTTGTTTTTTCCACGCCAACCGGAACATTGCAAAAAGCTTGTGAAACCGTTTGAAATCGATCGCCACAATTGCAAGTGCAGAACGGTTTTTGTGCCCTAAATAGTGTGCCAAATATTCATGTTAATTATTTACAAATTGTTACTCCATATTTGCTAAGACTATCCGAATTCCAAGTTGCGAAATTGGAACGTCAAAGGTGATTGATTTTTAACCACAGATAGTGCATCGTGAAGGTTTTATACGCACTTCAAACAAACTCTTTGATGGCGTTTGTTGTGAAAAGTGCCTCGACATGAGAAGGATGTTTGGGGTTTGCTCCGATGGATGGCTCCTCTGCGGTCAGAATGTGAGCGGCTAATAACTGGCTGTCACGTATATGTTGTCTGTATGTTTTTTTTTATTTGTGTCCATGTAACCTTCTTGCATTATCGTTTTTTGTTTTCTCTATTAGGAGAAGTCTATTGTCCTCACGGTTGTGCCAAACGCTGTTTTGAGACAATGGCTGATCATTGTTATTTGCCGCACAGTGTGATAGCATGCTAACTAGTTATTGGAAAGGCTATAGTCCACCTATGAAAGCCTATATTTTTCATATGCAGACTATGCATATATGCTCATGGTACCCTATTAGTTCCTACAAACAAATATACTTTGACACGAATTTCTTTACTGTGACAGCAAACCAATTAAGTTTGTGTTAATTTGATTAGACAAACAAAAAGTGTAATTATAATTATATAGCTAAGTACATTTGTTTTTAGCACTAATGGAACACAACTTCTTCTAGTCTCATTATTATTAATGTGTGCTCAGTATACAAAAGGACATTTTTTTTCAATTCTACTAAAAACACTGATTCATACCATCAATTCATTAAACATTGTGTTTACTTGTATTATAACAGAGATTTATTTTTATACCTATAATATTAGATTCTAACTAATTTTTCTTTTGCCTTACACAAAACTCAGCAGGAGAGAGTGAAAAGGGGCAAAATCAATAATTTTGGTCATGCTAATATTATATAAATATAAGTAACATAAGGTTAGGCCACCTTTTCCTGATAATAAATATCAAATCTTTCTGGTGGAGAATACTCATCGGTTGAGTAGTAGCAGGATACCGTTACATTCCCATCAGATACAACAGATTTTTAAATTTAATACCTGAAATATCTAGACAATTAATGCCTAGGGGAAAACATTCATGAAACACTAAGAATAAAAAAGAATTAAGTATAAAATCAATTTTAATCTTAGTACAATAAAAGAAATAACAATCTATTTTGGTGTTGACTGAGTCGGAAATATGTTGACAGTGCATTTAATCCAACTGAGAAACTTAATCATCAATCCTGTGAGCCATACATCCTTCAGGGTAGCCTAACTGCTATTTTATGACTTGACTTATTTATATTTTAGTCTAAAAATGTTAATCTACAAGAGCAGTGACCAAAATTTGTTAACATAATTCTTAAACAAATAGTAGTACAAATTCATTTTCGCCTAAGTTAATTGGGCATTTTTATTTTCCTCCTTATTGAAAACCATGTGTTTTTAGGCTACTGTGGCTCTAGTAGCCTCACATTTGGATCTTAAACAATATTAAAGTACAGGATATAGAAAAGTCAAACTTATTCAAATATTCATAATAATAAAGTCTATACATCACAAGAAACATTAACCTACTTTGAGAATGTATGTTTCGTTCCTCATTCTTTGAAATAAAATATGTTCCAGTTTATGAGCTACAGTTATAAATTCGAATAGCCACGTCCGAGCGCAATAATTTTGCATTGAGATGAAATATGGTTGAAGTAACAAACTTTCATTGTTGTGTTTTAATGGCTATATGTATATGTATGTCTATATTAAAAACATATCTAAAAAAACGTATGACGTATGGAATACAGATTAAATTATAAATTAAAATAAAACACTTTTTACAACTTAAACTCTAGGCAAGTCTCAATGGCTGCAAAGCATCTAGAATTACGGGTCGTAATTCAAAATAAGTGAAGTAATATGTTTCGCGTTTTAATCCATTAAAAATGTTTTATTTCAAAATATTTATTGTATTATGTACCTTATGCCGTTGTATGCCTAAAGGGGCATCCATTTTTTTTAACTGGAATTCTATGATCTTCTTCGAATCTTCTATGAAGTGTAGGACTTTTGGTCTACACAATATATACTTCTGAATTAGACTGAAGATGAGATAAATAAGGTTGTGTACAAGGTAAATAGGTATATACCTATCTAGTGCATCATTGCATTTAATGTGTCAGATAAAGACATCAATACTCTGGAATGTAGATAATAAGATGTCGCCTTTATATGTTTTGATATTCTTACAACGTAAACTCTACGTGGTGGCAATAATTCTCAATGTATTAATGCCACGTGTCCCACGCATCGCATACCATAGTAAATGGTAGAGCGGTGGATACACAATGTAATTCTGGCCATTAATAAAAAAAAGTATATTTGAATTTCGAATGTCACCTTTTGTCACTTTTTATACCTATAATGACAGATGAGAAGATTATATTCCCCTGATGTTAGCCGTGGTACGTTACGCAATAGTAGTGTACTATTGAAATTTCATCATTATCGGTCAATCCCAGGGTTGCCAACTAATATGTACAGTTAAGTATAAAAATATGTTTATAGTCATTTGAAAATACATTAGTGTATTTTCGAATATCCAAAGACAAAATACGTCGACAGCACATCTGATTCAGTCGGGTCTTATTCGTATGACTGGGTTGTTTTACCTTCCATCAAATTAACCCAATGCCTCACATTAAAAAAGCTTGTCACACATTAATTAACATTTGTGATAATTCTTCGCGAAATACTGTATTTTTTACACTTGTACTATTTTTAAAGGACACATTAGTAAGATTAGTTCTTACTTTTTCAAGAAAATACAAATTTAACTACTTACCTATGTCATAGTTTTACATAATTATATTCTTTTAAATAATTTATCATCTTGACCACTTGAGCCGTCATCTGTACCAACGTCTTGTTAAAATTGCATGACTTCTTGGCGACATGTAACCGTGCCCCGTCAGGTTTGCGTGATTATGATCGTCTTATATCAAGGCGAATATCGTCATCAATCAAGCCTCGAGCCATTTGAGTGGGCGTTGATGCGTTTTGTCGCTATAACAATACATTTCCATGCCTAATGATAGTAGTCTTGAACTACGGTTGTAATTTTTCCACACGTTTCTATCACTGCGACCTGTTCCCACAAGTGGGAACAGGCTTAGAACCACCACGCCGTTCCATCTTCTAGGAGGCACGGAGGTGATTATCTACTTCCTAACTTTGACTAGAAAATTTTCATAACATTTCAGCCAACCCGGAATTAAATCCTGGACCACGATGTGTATTCAGATGTAAACCACAGTTATTAGACAACATAGTACGAAACGCAGCGATCGTAGGTTCGACTCCCGCTCAACCTTAAATTACTTACTCTTTAATTTTATGTACCTATGCTGTCTTGTATTAAAAAATAATGTCATGCAAATGAAGTGACAACGTAAAACTAGTGTTTAACGCAGTGTAAATACACAATTACAAAATGGTTGAATTCCTTAAAATTCCAAAATTCCACTTAACGTCTTTTCATCTCTGGATGGTGGTACGTGACCCGGACGGAACACCGATATTCCTACCGCCATTTTATAAACAGATTTCCAAACAAGGTCGAACATGTGTCACAAAAATTATAAATTTAGAAAAATGTTGGACTCGGCGGGAATCGAACCACGACCTGTTCTTTACTAACGTTACACCATCGAGCTCGTCAAACTCTATAACAATAAGTGTTCTTGGGATCGGTTATAAAGGGTTTTTTTATCTGCTTTTCATAAGATAACTTTAAGCGTACCCCTAAAAACCTATAAATTATAATAAGCTGATCTCGAGTAGTCCACTTGGGTCCACCTTATCTCGTCCATCACCTTAACAGATCCTCAAGTGGCACTCGACATCGTAATTCATTTTCTCTTTAGCACGTACTATACTAGAATCGTTACTTTCCTGTTTCCATCGGTTTCACTCGTGTAGATGAGTGTTAATTGATGATTTCTAAACATAAGAAAATAATTTATAGATTTAATAAAAGCATTGAATTCATTATTACTTTTATTAAAAGTTATGAATGACTTCTTATACCTCCAATGTAATTTTGCAAAAATAAATTATTTTTTTATTTATTTATACATAAAACAGGTGGTGCTAGCTTAGCAGTTTTTACTTTAGTTTTTTGATATTAGGGACACTTTCTATCTGTATCCCCTTCGTGACCACCGCTGCAAATAGATTGCAAACACATACATTCCGCGTTTTAAAGCGTTAAAAGTATTGTATTTAAATGTTTACTAAAGCTACTACACGACGGTACATCATAAAAAAAAATTTAAAACACAAAATATATTCCTGTATTGACTATTTCCGTGGTTACTATCAGTCAAGCATTCTAAACGCCTGGTATTAAAATTAATTAACATATTTATCATTTTGAACCGTCATTTGATAAGGTTTTTTTTTCTGAATTGATTTCGCATTTATTAGTTCGGGGCCTTATACAAATAACCGGATGCTTGACCAAGGATGTGTCCTGGGACGGAACACCCTGGCGGATGAACGGTCGCCTGGAGAGAGACAACTATGTTGAATATAAACTCTAGACTAGAATGAAAGCAAAACGCCGAAGTTTATTTTCATGATATATACATTTTTTTAGGGCTCCCCTCACGGCTCGGTGATGTCCTGTCAGTCGCTGGCGGCGCGCGCCTTCGCCGAGCCAGAGAAGGAGTCTCGATGCGCCGTCGCCTTCCACAGGTGAGTGCCAGTACGAGTAGAAATGTGTCCATTGCCTATGTCATTCTTTCTTAACTATATCCATATTAATATATAAAGCTAAAGAGTTTGTTCGTTTGGACGCGCTAATCTCAGGAACTACAGGTTCGATTTGAAAATCTTTTTTTGTTGGTTAGAGCATTAATTGAAGAAGGCTATAAAACATCGCTACGACTAATCGAAGCGAAGAGCCAGCGGGAAATGTGGAAAAAACGGGAAAATATTATTCATATTTGTGAGATACCGTTGCGTACGCTGGGAAAAAATTTCAAGATGCCCAAAAAAATATTCCTCTATAAAAGTGACGGGACGACCGACGTCGTAGGTAACAGCTTAAAATCATAAAGATGAGGTTAGCAAGAAAAGTTTGATGCCCAAAATAATTTTTCTACGCGAACGAAGTCACTTACAACTACTTGATTTATGTACCTAATTGTTTTATTAACGTAATGTTTCAGATCAGTGCGGTTTAGTTCGGAGTCCCGAAGCCCCAGAACAAATGACACGGATTGCAAGAGAGACACTCCCGGTAAGGCCACAGACTATAATACATAATTCATCACCATTTTAAATGACGGGCTGTGATTGCAGTAATGTATGGTTGATCCGAATCTACGGGTCGGGGGTTCGATCCCCAATGGGTCTAACGTGTTTCTAATCAATTTATAATTTTCTGAAATATGTTGGACTCCGTCTGGAAATCTCGATACTAAATGGGTCGTAAGAGTATTAATTTTCTGATTTTTAATTTTCTGCTTCTAGGCTCGATGTCTCTCACGGCGCTGTCTGTCAGTCCCGTGACGCCTGGTTCAGCCATGAGCCAGTCAGCGCCGCACGCGTCTGCCTTTGACTTTGATGATTCGGTGAGTATCATAGACAATCACTGTATTCGTATTGTTTATAGTGCGAGGAGTAAAAACAATGATAATGCCATGACTATGGCTCCTGCAACATATCCGAAACTTTAAACCGTAGTACGATAATTTCGTGTTTTAAACCGTTAAGTGTTTTTTTCATTCGATTCATAGAAAAATACATTTAGAAATCTACCCTCGTGTAAGGCTGGACCTTGAAGCAAATGGGGCTACACGAACGAATAATTCCCGATCTTTATTTAACAAATTTACAAAATTTTAGTGCTAGTTTTAGTTATAATATTTCTCATTTATTATCATCAGTTTTAAGGATGTAATGTAAAAAGGAAATCATTTCAGGACAGTACAGTTTAAATGAGGACTGTCTTTCGACCAAATTCGATTACCATAAAAACGTATTTTGTTATCTTATCTGAAAATTCAATATATGCTGTCGTAGACATTTTTTTTAGGATTAAAAAAATATATATTTTGGGCGTCTTGAACCGTTATCATATCGAATGCCCTCTAGTCTTCCCCGGTTTTTCAATTCAAAGCAGTAGTTCCTTTGATAAACGCGTTCAAGCAAACTCTTCAGCTCTATAATATAAGTCTGCTATCCAAGAAAATAATTTCTTTTCAATTGTTACTTGTTTATTCACAAATGTTCCAGCCGGCGCCCCCACCGGCCTGTAGATTTCCGAAACTCGAGGAATGCGCCCATTTTCACTACGAGAGGGTGTCCTTGGGCGGTTTGAGTGTGGAGCTGGTGCCTTGTGAAGCGGTTGAGGGTCTACCACAGGAAGGTACGATAAATCTTGTTATTATAAGAAGTTAGACTTAAGTACACATACAATTTTTAGCTGACTTTTAAAGCCGGCACGCATTACTATTTAAAACTTTAATCAACTTGACTAACGAAAATCATACGAAATCTCGAGTAGTCGTTAATAAACAGTTACCCAATATATAAACAAAAAAAAAACGATTTGCGCAGGACATGAACATACACATACACGGCATACACAGCGTTCCGTGCTCTAACCAATTAAGGTACCAAGTCCGGTTCAAGAACTGCCCGGGTCGTACAATTTTTAAAATGTATAATCGATTTTTATAAATAAGGCCATCATGTGCATGTGTATGTGTGCGCTTGCGTTGATTGGTTTCCCAGTCGTGTTGTCTTCCTCGGACCCATACGACGCTCCGGGTGCGTCTCAATCACGTTTTCCAATCAATTGCGTGTTCGATTGTACAGATGCGCAACTATCTCTACTTCGTTCAGCGCTTAACACCCGTGCCGCGACCTATTGTTGTGTAACTCCTGCCTCCAATACACTAGTATTTGAATCTACATTCATCTCAGGTAAAGTGGTCACGGTCCGTGACGATGATGTTCTCGTTTGTGGGGTGTCTTATGTCTTCGAGCTTTCTCTAAGGGCTAACCTAGAAGTTATTTTACTCATACTTTACAGGCTGGGTGTGCTTGAAGGTCCGTTCACACGTGAACTCGACTTGCGACGACTCGGTGGATAGTAGAACGCTCAGCACGAGTTGGACTGAAGCCAGCGACGTGCGCGAGTGGACTCTCACGAGGAACAAGGAGAATCTGCTGCATTTAGACGAGATGCTGCATAGGTATGTAGCTGTTAATATTTATGATGGAGGGCAGTCGAGCATGGGGATCACTTGATGAGAGGTGAAATAGATCCTAGCCTATAGATCATAACAAGATGCGCTGTCGGCCCATTTTGGTTTTGGTTATTCACAGATCCGCAAATTTAAACCGCAACGCGATTTAACTTAATGGCTTTTTTAGCTATGTAGGTCGTAATCCGAACGGAATCGATATTCCTACCATCTACTTATTATACAGATTTCGAAGGAAAACATGTTTCAGAACATATATACATATATATATATATATATATATATATATATATATATATATTAATTAGAAAAAAATCGGGTCCGGTAGGGATTGAAGCACACCTTAAATTTGTCACCATTTGAAATACCGAATAATTGTAACATGAAATACGTAAAATGTTCGGTCGCGAGGGGCATAGAGGTCCTTAAATGTACATTTACAATTATATTTGCCCCATGCCCTACAAATTCAAACAAAACTCATTTTTGTCTATTAACCATGTATGAGATAAACAATTGAATGTTCCCTTTCTTCCAGGTGTATATACGATAGAAAAGTGTCCGGCCTCCCGAATCTCAAAGAAGCTTTTACACCAGAACTAGTGCAGGATGAGACCGAGTATCGCCAGCTGATATCGGATTATGTACACCATTTGTCCATCATAGCGGATGATTCCATTAATTGTGGTCCAGCACTGAATTGGCTTCAAATGGATAATAAAGGTATATAATTGATCTTTAAATTAAGGCGCTGCTATTGCCAGAGTGGCCTAATAACAAGAGACATGATTTTCAATAAAGAGGAAAACGAAAATTAATTTGTACTAACAATGTAACAATTTTCGATCACTGTGCTCGTGTAGATTAACATATTTAGACTGAAAAAATAAATAACTCAAGTCATAAAATTGCGACTAGGCGGCCTCATATAAATTAAAAATCGATGTTAGACTGAAAAATGATGACGTGTAGGACTCGGTAGCTCAATTTGTTAGCGCAGCAGTACGAAACGCTGCGGGTGCCCGTGGCGCAATTTTTTTTTCAATCTAAAACCGATTTTTGCCTTATGTAAATATAATAATTGCTTAACCTTAGATGCTCCATAGAGGTAAAGTGAGTGAAATCCCGTTTCCCCCTCGTGGGCATGGAGCGAACACATTTTTGTGTTCGTTTCACTAATCCGCTCTTTAACAGGCAAATATTTGATCAGACTTCTGTGCCCTGCCTGACCGAAACAATTTTATGTTTCCCTGGGATTCGAAGCAAGTACCTCTCGCGCTTAACGCAATGCTAGGCAATACGTTTTACCATTTGACTACAGAGATGGTAACAAAGTTAAACAAGAGAGATCCTAGATTTAATAGTAACTACTAATGCTACTATTAAGTAGTTATAGAGTTTTGTCATAAAGAGACAAGAAAGATTTATTTCATTTTTAATTTCAGGTCACAAACTCCTTGTGTCAAACGAGGATTCCAACTCAATTAATACTCCAGCTGTAGCCGCTGCATATTCTGTGAGGAAATATGTCTCGCAGGTATGTGTTGTGTATATTTAAAGCAATGTGTTATGTATATGTAAAGTTCTGTGTTATTTATATTTAGAGGAATAGGTTATGTATACTGAAGGTACGTTTTAAATACTGTCTATAGATTACGCGAGTAGTACACATTTAAATAAAACACTTTAACGGTTTAATACGCGATTTATTAGTTAAACTTATTTGAAAATCAGTCGCCCCGTGACCACAGCTGCTGCAAAGCATCCGAAACGTCGGGCCGAAGTTAAAAATCACTTTCAAATCATTTTAACTAATATATCGCGTTTTAAACCATTAAAATGTTTTATTTGAATAAGTTACGTTTTATGCATATTTAAAGGTATGTGGTATTGATATACACCTTCAATTAGAAAATAATGTGTCTTTCTTTTGCAGGCTCGAGACGAAATTAGCTTTGAAGTTGGCGATATGATTTCCATCATAGATATGCCCGGTGAGTTTCAGCTTATTTCAATAATAAAAACATTTTTGCCAACTTTGACCAACACTGAGACAAATATTCTTGTATGTTTGCAGTTATTTTACAACGAAACTCGTATAGTCACACACAGCACACTTCACTCACACACATAATTATATCAAAAACATAGTTATATAAGAAATTCTAAGATGCCTGTATATTCTAAATAAAATTATGTGATAATGTATACACACATACAAACAGTCGGCTCTCTGTGACAATTATTTATGGTAACAAGCGCACAACTTTATCCTCGGTAAACAAGGAAAAACGTATTTGCAAATACAATATAATGCTGAATTTTATATACTGGGAATATCATATATTATCCTACTGTTCGTTTTATTATTCTGTCTGCTGTTGTACAGTCTAATTATATATTGGTCGTCATAAATGCTGGACGATAACGGTAAGATTGACTGTAGTTCTAAGTCATACAAATGTAATAAAACAACCGTTTAAAACGCGATACTTACTCACTTATTCTGATTTATGACGACGGGGTTGTACTTAAATAGGTATGAAAAATCTTTTGCATTTTAAACCGTTCAAAGTGTTTTATTTTGTGTTTCATTATACATGTTGTTAGGAATACTTAGTCAATAACGCTTTTGTGTAATCTTACTATTATTATGGTTCCAGGACCCCAGGAGTCCACTTGGTGGCGCGGCAAGCGTGGTTTCCGCGTGGGCTTCTTCCCCCACCATTGCGTGGCTGTCATCGGCGATAAAGTGCCGAGGCATATGACCCAGCCACCACCGATAGTCGGGTATGATATTTTACACTACTTATATGTGATTTAAGACGTAACGTTAGCGTAAACACAATGATATACACTATACAGGACATAATATTATATGCGCGTAGGTACGAATTCACTATTATAATTAGTTACAAATACTCTCTGCTTTATTTCACATTTAATATTCATATCTATACTAATATATAAATCTGAAGAGTTCGTTTGTTTCTTTGTTTGAATGCGCGCTACGGGTTCGAATTGAAAAAATATTTTTGTATTGGTTAGAACATTTCTCGAGGAAGGCTATAAAGCAAAGGGCTGCGACGAATGCTAGAGAAGAAACAGGGAAATGTGGCTAAGAGCTTCCGTTGCGTGCGAAAATCAAGATTACAAAAAAAATATATAAAAAATTATGCCTCTCTAAATAATCTTAAAAAATGTCCGCGACAGACAGACAGATGTCTATCTTTTAAGATAAGGTCACGAGAACCGTTTTTGTAATAAATAAATTGGGTCAAAATACTTCAAATAGCAAAATAACGTTGGTCAGGTCAGCTAATGCTCACGTATCGTTGGCTTCTAAAATTCTTAAAATAGAACTTATGTTTCAGCTCCGTTGCAATGGCTCCAATAAAACCGGTTCTCCGTAAACATGGGAAACTGATCTCTCTCTTCCGAAGCTTCATCCTGTCCAGGCCCTCCAGGCGCAGCCTGAAGCAGCAAGGCATCTTGAGGGAGAGGGTTTTCGGCTGCGACCTTGGGGAGCATCTGCTTAACTGTGGACACGATGGTCAGTTCCATTATAATACCATATAGCAGCTAGTCCAATAATGCAATTTATAGTGTATTTTTTCTTAGCAAAAAAACACGACAAATATGGCCATTTTAAAACCATAGAGAACTAGACACAGGAATAAATAAACATCGATTATGTATAGACCAAAACTTTTTTTTAAAGTTTTCTGCCATTATTATTCAACTCGACATTTGTAATCCCATCCTTATGTAAATGTCAAACTAAATCAATTATTGCAATTTATTAAATTCTAAATTTAAAAAAATGTGATTTTAACTAAGTAAATCAATTTGAGGTAGTTCAAAGTGTTTTTGAATTTCTGAGTATACAAATACAAAGCCAAAATAAGTCGACAGCACATCGTGTTTAAATGTTATAAGGCTAGGGTATTTCACCTGTCTTCGAGACTGGACAGACAAGCTTGGCTTGGCTCTGTCATAAAAACATAAAAGGGTTATAATATTTTTTTGTACATATTTTCCTTTCCGTAGTTCCCCTAGTGCTGGTGGAATGTTCCCGGGCGATAGAACGCCGTGGCGCCGTGGACGGGATCTACCGTCTGTCTGGTGGTGCGGCGTTGACGCAGCGTTTACGCGCCGCTTTCGACGCGGGCCAACCGCCCGATCTGACCGCGCCCTTACAGCGTGACCCACACGCTTTAGCCAGTCTTCTAAAATGCTACTTTCGGTAATATGTTTGTACTTAGCTTCTTGAGGTTGAACGGCGTTATGTAACGCGTTATGGTCCTATGTGTTCAGTTATCTCTTATGCCACAATTATGTGGAAGAAATGGGTTAGTAATATCGCCAAGGTGCTTGACGATTTTGCTAAACTTGAATTTGTAGATAAATATGTTCTTTAATACTTGTTTCCATTGCAAATTAGTTGGAATGGAAATCGGCTTAGGAATTTAAGTCTGCCTAAATAGACGTGTTTCTTTTTTCGAGGAATAAAAAAGACTAGTGAGTAATGGGAAAAGGGATTAGAATTGGTTTTAAGGAGATAAAGAAGAGCGTTTGAAAAACTTTCAGGCGGCCTGTAAGACTGGACCAACTTGGGTAGCAATTGTCTTACTTGGCTTGATAACGAAAGAGTATGTGTGTGTGTAATGTGAATGTCATGGTTTTACTATCAATCTTAGACTTCATTATATTGATTTATCTCTTCTTCTACTATACTATATACCTCTGAATTTATCTCTCTATCTATAGTCTGAAAACCAGCGAATTGCCATTTCTTATTATCATTTATTTGTTATTGACTTACGCAATTTAGTAGTTATAAGTTTACTGTGTTATAAGGGCAATAAGAAGTCTTAAATTTGGAATTTCTTTTTTTTTTCAATCAAAGTTTTAATAATACATAATATTTTGTTCCAGCGAGCTGCCGAACCCCCTCTGTACGTACCAGCTGTACGATAGCTTTGTGAGTTCAGTTCAAGTGCCAGAAGAACAAAGACTGAAAGCGATGAGGGACACCGTTGTCAAACTACCGCCACCGCATTACAGGTATTATTCAACTACCTTTAATTAATTTGAATGAGCCAAATGGAATTATAACTTGTTTTGAAAATGTTGTTTTGATGGTTTAAAAACTGTCGGTGTGTATCACACAAAGAGAGAGAGACGCGGTTTGTGTGTATGGAACCGATAATAATATTTGATCACACAAATAAACACACATGTTGATAAAGCCTAGGTTCCAAATTATTGCGTTTGTGGTCTCACACTAATCTATTACAATTTAAATCGTTTAGACATCAGATCTGCTGAACCGGATTCAATACGATTTTGCATAAACAAATTTCTAGAAAGCAAAGAGGATGTTGATGTTTGGTTTATCCATTTTTATTTTATAATTTTTACATTAAAATAAAACACTTTAACGGTCTAGAACGCGATATATATCACTTTTTACTTTGACGTCAGAGACAACATCCATTTTTAGTCTTCCACCACGTGACCACGGCTGCTGCAAAGCATCCGAAACGTCGAGCCGTAGTTCAAAATGATTTTCAACCGTTTTAAACCGTTGAAAGTGTTTTGTTTACATTTTTACGCATTCAAATGTTTTTTTAACTTAATATTACAGGACGTTAGCGTACCTAATGCGTCATCTACGTCGTGTGTCATTGCTCAGCGAGTCCACGGGCATGACTGCTCGAAACATGGCGATAGTATGGGCACCTAACCTTCTGAGCTCACCGAAACCACAGCACGCACTGCAAGGAGTCGCTGTGCAGGTACAATTATTTACGCAAATGACAATTTATTATTTTTTTAGTTTAACATTAAGATAAGGATGGGATGTAAGCAAAGTAAAAGACAATAAAGGTAGAAGTCCCACTCATGCACGATCGCTGATACAAACGTCGAGATTCATATAATAAGTGATTTTAAATATTCAGTTCGTTTGGATACTTTGTGACCTTTTGACATACGTGGCAACCGATTTACTCTATAAAACGACATCACTCTATCGTTTAAAATCGGCCATTGCGTCTTTAAATTTTGCGTATTTTTTCTAGGCCAATTTTGTCAATCCCTTCGATGCTCATTACACATTCTTTGGTTTTATTTCTTTATATATCATTTAAATATTGCGTCTTAACCTTTCAGGCGGTTGTAACGGAATTTCTTATCTGTTACGCGGAAGAGTTGTTTGCGCAAGAGCAGGGTGCTGATTCTGGACCGGAGTCGCTCGAACAGGTGAATAAACACACTCACATATATATGTAACTTTTTTATGATAGAGGAGGACAGACAAGCGTAGAGTTCACTTGATGGTATGTAAAATACCCCAGCCATATAACATTTAAACAAGATTCGCCGTAAATCTATTTTAGCTGTAGATATTCGGAAATCCACAGACTGGTCCGAAACGCCATTGACATTTTCATTTGTGTATGGTGGTTCGTGATCTGGACGAAATGACGATATTCCTACCACCCATTAATATCCAGATTTCCAGACGAAGTCCAACATGGTTTAGAAAATTTCAAAATAAATTAGAAATATGTCGGTGTATGTTAAATATACTGAAACGGTTCAATCCGAACCGGGTGGTTTAGATTGAACCGTTTCAGCTGCGGGCCCGCCAAAAAATATAAAAAATACCAAGAAACATATTAGAGGATATATAATTGACTTTCAGTCTTGTAAAACGTTTGTAATTATTAAGATATTTGACTGTTTTCAGGATCGAACCGAGTGTCTAGTGGAGTTACGCGGCCTAGAGGCCGGCAGGCGACCGAAGAGCTTACCTCTCAACCCACCGACTAAATTGCTCAGGTAACTTCGATAGCAAAATAAATATCGATTTTAAATTGAAAATATAATATAACCGGGTAGGACGTGAACCAGAAACCACAGCGTTCCGTGCTGTTGCTCCAACCGATTGAGCTAGCTATTGACCTCTAATGATTAAACATTTGTCGACAGAGAATGTCAATAATTTATTTTAATTTGATAACCGCTTTATGATAGAGTCTTAAGAAAGACTAGAGCAAATTATTGTTTAAAAAAAATATCCAAAAACATCTATTAATGTGGGTTATCCTAGCAAATAGTCTTCAACAAAATAAACAGGCTACTAGTATAGTAGTAAAGGCAGTTAATAACAATGTACTTAATTTAAAAAATATATATACTTTCTCAATAAAGACTATAAAGAGTTATTATAATTAAAAATAAAATTATCCTAGCAAAATGTCTTCATTAAGGTTAACCTGTCAAATATCACAAATGAAATCGTAAATATTTGTTTTACAGCTTAGAGGAAGCTCGTCGTCGCGGCCAAGTGTGTGTCGGCAGCGAGATAATGGATTATCCGCCACCGTCTGGTGCTATAGCCGCCGCTGCGACCACTCAACTCAAACCCGCTGGGCACTTGAAACCCAAGTATATCGAGGTAAAATAAATTCAATATTGTAATACTTGTATAAAAACACGTTAAGGGTTTAAAACCCCTTCAAAGCGTCAAAACTTCTCGTTAGACATTTCTTAAGCAACAGCTTTAACTAATATAATTCGCGTTTTAAACCGTTGACGTTTTATTTAAATCTAAACTAGATTATATAAATTAAATTCTGAATTTAGATTGAAAAAACTTCCAGCACAGCCAGGAATTGAAACGGCATCCACATCGTTCTGTGCTGTTGGTATGTTGTTGGTAACGCGATTATACGAACGCTGGAAGTAGTCAAGGAGGGAGCAACATCCCAATTTTGTATTTGCTTGCACTCACAATTATTTACTTTAAATTAATTTAACTATACTAATATTCTAAGGTTGACGAGTTTGTTTGTTTATTTGAACGCGCGAATCTCAGGAAATATCTGTTCGAATTAAAAATTTAAGACCATTTTAAGAGGTATCATTTATATGTTAAACAAGCCGAGAAAGGCTTTAGGATATCACTTCTAAAGAGCAAAGACACTGAAATTTATGAAATAAACGTGGAATGTAATCATCTTAGAGGGCGCTGCGAAAACGGTTCCTAAAAGCAAATAAATATGCACGAGAGAATGAATCCTCTTAGAATGGTGTTAAGAAATGTCCGCGACAGCATATGTTGTAGCTATTGAGATCAACTCGCAAGAATGACGGGCCGCGGACAACGTCGTGGGTAACAACTAGTTTCCATTAATAGACAGTTGACACTCGATTTTAACGAATTTTTAAAAAATATATATTTTGGTCCTTTTCAGGTTGGTTCGGGACCAAACAACTTACCTCAGTATCACACCGTTTTGGAATTACCCGCGCCCGGTATGTTTTCTATGACCATAGCTCACCTGAAATTAGTTTATATTTGACCATATGATGCGTAAACAATATTTTATCTGCCACCAAAGCAAATGATCATTTGTAATATTGCACAAAAATCTCTTGTATGGTCTATTTTTTCTAACTTGGCAAAACACCATAATAGATATGGCCGATTTTAAACCACAGAGAACTATATGATAGAGTAGAGAACTGATGATGACCTTTTATAGAGTGAAGTTGTTGCCATAGTTGACAGAGAGATAGAGAAACTTTTGTAAATGTCAAACTAAAGAAATGTTTATCTGTGCATTTACGTAAATTAATTTTTAGCTTTCTAATAATTTCAGCATGAAATTGTGGTTTTCACTAAGTGTTTCAGGTATATAAACTTAGTTTAATAAATAATCCAGTGTCTTAAAGCGTTTTTAGTGTAAATCAATCTAAACTTTGTGAAAAAATCACGATTTCATATAAATTGTCTTTGTTTACCAAAAATGCCAAGTTAGAAAAAATACACTGTACTTACGATATCTTAATATTTTGTCTTTTACAGGTGCCAAACGTGCGTTGAAACGCTCCGTGTCAGGATGGCGTGGACTGTTCAGTAGAAGCAAATTACATAGGCCGCGACCACATCGGCCAGCGCCTACTACGCCTCCGCCACCGGTAAGTTAGAAACTATTTTGCATTGTTATTAGTAATATTCGTTGGATACCATTGCTATTAAGAGTTGTTTAATTATTATATATTGTGTATTAACACAACTTCAACAGTGATTATATTTTTTGATGTCTTCGTGGCACTCTAACAGAGTCGTGTTAAGGATTTGAACTTTTTAAAACTTTAATATTTTTCACGTCATCTTTTCAACATCAAAATTATTTTAACTACGGGCTGACAGTTCATGACTTCGTCTCCCCGTGACCACGGCTGCTTCGAATTAGTGTTTTATTTAAATGTCGATTGTGCTTTTCAGGAAATAATAGCGAGCAGCCTTCGCCCCGCCAAATCCTGTGAATCTTTAGTGTCCGAGACTGACACACTAGCGCCACTCGCTATCAAGGCGGCGGCACCTCTCAAACATCACACCAGGTATTTCATTTATCCGCCAGAACTTTAAAAATATCGTCACACCAAGAAGTAAAATTAGAGTGATTTAATAAATAATTCGTGTCAGGTCATCGTCGTGCGATTCGTACTTCGAGCCATGGCAAGCTGAGTTGGCCGGCATGCGCTTGCGACTGTCGCCGCAAGAGCGAGACAGACATATGTTCAGCGAGGAGGACGATACGGGACAGCCTGCACAGGTGTGTTTCACCTGCTCCATTACATTAGATTAGTTAAATATACCTTTTTTATGGTAGAGGAAACAGCCAAGCGTGGGGTTCACTGAATAGCAGGTGTAATACCATATTTAGGCTTTGGAGATTTGTAAATCCATAGGCTGAAACCGAAACGCGATTAAACTTGACGACATAATCATCTGTGGACGGTGGTTCGCGACACGGACGGAATTTCGATTTTCCTACCACCAATTTAATATCTAGATTTCCAGTCCTAGTCCAACATGTTTCAGAAAAAACGTTGGACCCGGTGGGGGTCGAACCCACGAGCCCGTCAAAAAAAGATTCATGGGTTCGAGCCTCGGCCGTGTCATTAATTTTTAAATAATTCTTCTTAAACCTTACATAAGATATTTTATGTAAGCAGCATATACATTGTACATTATTTGTTAAGGACGATTCGGTGTGTTCGTCACCTGTGGATTCTAACCCGGCGAGTAACGAGCCAAGTCCAAGGAGGCTACTTCGCGCTGATGTGCACCCGACCGATACTTTAGAGAGGTAAAGAATTATTTGTGTACAGATAAATAGATTCAGAGTTATGTAAATTACATAGTAATTGTATGATTACTGTCTGTAGTACACATTTAAATTAAATACTAACGGTTTAAAACGCGATATATTATATTAGTTATTTGTTAAAATTATTTGGCAATAATTTTAACGCCCACCGTCGTAAAGTGTTTCCGTGACCACGGCTGCTCGGCCCTTAGTGAAAATAATTCCTAATTAAGTTTAACTAATACTAATTACGTTTTAAACCGTTTAAGCGTTTTAACTAAATATAATTGTGTAACCCACAATTGGAATGTATTATATTTTTTAAATTGATTGTTACTTATCTATAATTATAAATTGAGAATTATCATTTTTTGCTAATTTCTTCAATAAAAGTAACTCACATAATTTATCGTATCGTTTTCTAGAAAGCGCGTGGCCTTAGACAATCTGGAGCAGCAGGTATCGGAGCTGGGGTACATCGACGAGAGCGGCACTTGCAGCCCGTTGGCTGAAAAGCGACCGGCCTATAACAGACCACTCAGTCCTAGGAGGCAGGCGGTTGCGAAGAGGTATGACTAAAGGTTTTCCATCTATCTCTGAGGACATAACGCGAGAAATAAATTTTTTATGTAATTATTAATTATTTATTTTCATATTATATTCGAACGACTTTATATAAAACAATAGATACAAAAATACAAAAGATATTGATTTTTTGATTTTGATTGAGTAAGGTTTTTATATACAACGTTCAGAGTTTTTCTAGTGTTGTTAGCATTGCACCCGAGCGAAGCCGGGACGGGTCACTAGTTATAATACAATTACAATATTGGCAGGTAAAAAAATATAAAATAGCTAACTAGCTTGGCTTATGTTGACGTTTTTCTTAAATAATAAATCGAAAACTCAATATTATGTGTAAAAACAAAACAACTAAACGATGTTAAACGGTGTCTGTAGGTCACGCGAGTAATACACATTTTAATCAAATACTTAAACGGTTTAAAACGCAAAATATTCGAATTAAACTTGTACGCAAATTATTCTAACTACGGTCCTACCACGACAACGAAGACTGCTGTTATTTATACATTTCGCGTTTTAAACCGTTAAAGTATTTTATTGGAATATATGATGGTGTCTCCAATAGTGTCCTATTTTTCAGGGTTTGCAAAGACCGCGACAGCCCCCTCTCGTCTACTTCAGACTTCCAGGCGTCCCTGTCTAACGTCAAACTGAGGTATGCAAGTGTTTCCTTTCTTTGTCAATGTTATCCGAGCTAGAGATAATCTATTTTCTTTTATATAGTTGTTTGTTCCTTGTATTTGATCGCTCAAGTACCTTCGATAGCTAGTTCCCCTAAAATGAATGTACGAACCATGCATGGTTTAAATCATAGTATGTAGGCCAGACAAAAACCTTGCTAGTTATATACAATGGAGTAAGGTTGAAATTACATTTCGCGAGAGGTGCACGTTTAAGTAGCGGCACGGATCTTTAGTGCTGAACGAATCCTGCGCAGAAGTCAAAAATAAGGTATCGTAGGGACGGAAGCGGGCGCGGGCGAGTGAACGTCATGTGCGCTAGCGTTGATTGGATTTTCCAATCGATTACGTGCGCGTATGTATAGATGCGCAACTATATTTGTTCAGCGCTAAACATCCGTGCCGCGACCCCTATATCAAGTAATAAGTTTAAAAAAATTGACGATGAGGTGTGGAATTCATAACTAATTGGAATACTAGCAAGGTTTTTGAATATCAACAATTGAAGTGTTATTCTAGTATAAAAACAATATTTTCATAGAGAATAGACTATTTCCTAATTATCATCGTACAGTGTTTTGGAGTGATGTTAGTTACAGATTCACTAACAGGAAAAAGACATTTGATACCATTTCATGTTTCAGGATAGTTAGAATTACACTAGCAACAGAAAAACACACACATAGACAGGTAAAAACACTAACATCATTCTAAAACACACACTAATCATTCATGCTCCTATTAATATTTCATTAAGGTGTCGTTAGAATGCGATGTTATGGTCACATTACAAGAAATAGATACATATTTAAATAAAACACTTTAACGGTTTAACACGCGATGTATATTAGTTAAACTTGTTTGAAATTATTTTAACTACGGTCCGACGTTTCGGATCCTTTGAATAGCCGTGGTCATAGAGACAACGTCGGACCGTAATTAAAATAATTTCAAAGAAGTTTAACTAATATATATCGCGTATTAAACCGTTTAAGTGTTTCATTTAAATGTGTAGTACTTGCGTAAACTGGATAGTATTTAGATATATATTGATATCTTGCCAAATATTATTTTAGTTACTCATATCTTTATATGATAACGTCGCATTCTCAACCCAGCTTAGTGTATCGTGGGCTAAATTAACCTAACGCTTGCAGAGAACGAAATTCACCAAGGAAACAAAAAAACTCAGCACGATACAGCGGCTTACACGCCCCCGTCCTTACCGACCCTGATAAGCCGGTGACGCGGCTCACGTGGCACGGCAAAGACGGCCACTCCACGCTCATCAAAATAGACTGGCCCATAGAGAATTCGATCAGCAATCTAACCACCAGCACCATCAACTCTAGTCCCATAACGCCAGTCACGCCCAACTACGACCCCCTAGAGAGCGACTCTGAAACCAGCGATAACAAACACACGATAACAATCACCAACGACTGTGATAACTGCGACGAGGAGAAATGCCTCAAATGCGAACTCAAGGCCACCGATTACGAAAACATGAAAGACTTAAGGGATTACTCCGAACAGAACCTACACGACAGTTTGGAAGTTAGCCCGTTACATTCCACAGATATAAGCTACCAGAATCTCAACAGATTGTCGGCTGTATCGACCTCCTCCAATTCCGAGCAGATTTCGAAGAAGGAGGATCTAATGAAGATTATGACGTCATCGCACGAGAGCTCCTCCAGCTATTCAAATGTCAGTCTGAAACACGACGAGTTGTACGAGTGCTATAACTATACTAGACCTAATTATATCAATTTACAGTCATCGAGCACATCGAAAAGCTCTCCCGGTAGCCCTTTGAAGAGTCCGTTGAAGTCTACAATAAGCATTACGTTTAGATCGCCAACAAAGTCTAAATCGCCAGATTATGAACCGATCGGAAACGAAACGCCGACGAACGAAAGAGATTCCGTGTACGAAGATATAGATTTAGACAAAAACCTGTCCATAGTGGAAGAAGCAACCGTGCCTCAGGCGGATGCGAGTCTTCCGACGCAACAGGCGTGCCAACCGGATGACTTTGACCGAGATCTTATAATATTAGAGACACCGACCGAAATAAATTTAGACGAAAACGTCGATGTCTATAGTCAAGTGAAATTCTTCAGAAAAAGTATTGACGAAGTGAACGCTATGATACTAGAATCTCCAGAAAGAGATGCGGAATATGAAAATGTTAATTTCGATACTGGACGTGATTACGAAAATATAAATGTGGATACTCTAAAAATCTGTGATAAACTAGATGTAAGTGCAAAGGAAAGTGAATCTTTAGAGCATGAAAACGGTAATGTGATAAAGCCCAAAGTCGCAACCAATTTGAATGTTCGCGAATTAGCCATACGATTCGAGAGTCCCACTGAACAGAAAGCTCCCTTTACCTTTGAGAAGTTTAAGCCGGACGTGAAATATCCTTCGGAGAAAGAAACCTTAGAGAAAACGCCTTCTATAGAAAACGTGAAAGAGAGAAAGAGAGACGTAATAGTAAAATTGCCCCCGCCAGTATCGCCTAAGACGTATAAGCTATCGAAAAACTCATGCAACGCTAGATCGTTAGACGAAAATGCGTTTATCAAAGAGTTTGGCACTGATAAAGACAGGCGAAAAAGCTTGGAAGTGAGAGACGTTAGAAGGACATCGAAATTCCTCCCAGATCTAAATCTCAACACTGAAGAGCCAGAAACCAAAGTCGACAGCATAACTCCGACCACAGAGAACAAAATATCGTTGATACAGCGCTTCGATGCGAAACCGGACATCAAGAATTTAATAGGCTTCGAAACGGAGAAGAAGTTGAGCAGGGAAAGAATAGAAAAGTATAAAGAGGAGAGACGGAATTTCCTCAGGGAGAAATATAGCTCTCAATCGTTTCGCAGTAATCCGGAACAGTTGACTCGGATCAAGTTGAAAAAGGAAGAGGAGAAAATAGAGAACTGCGAAAGGTTAAAAGAATCGAAGTTCGAGAGGAGGAACACGGTAGATTTGGGGCAGAGGATGAGGTTTTCGCTGGCGAGGAGCGCAAACGCACTGGATACGATTCCTTCGCCTCTGAGTCCGGTTCAGGATTTCAATGGCGAGGCCAGTCGAAGTCGGGATGATAGGTATGTATAGTTTTAAATCGAGTCTATCAAAGATTTACGACAACTTATGTGAAGTGAAGCATTATTTCATATTAAAGAGATTGTTGACTTAAACGAGACATACTAGTTCTTATCACGACTAAGTTTTTCGTGTTACATAGCGAGCGAAAATCTTTGAAAACCTCTGCGAGTAGTATTGTAGCAAATAATATTAGGAACTATCTAGGAGAAAACTCTTTAGTACCAAATTTTCTTTGTATATATTTTTGTAAGCACTTAGCTTATCACTGTCTTCCATCTTTTAATTTCATTTGCTTCTCTACTAAATACGTTTTTTTTACTGTACAAGTAATACTTATATATGCATTTAAAGTCAGCTAAGTTATGAAATAGAACAATTTGTACGACCATATTGTAATATAAATTACAAATAAAAAAATATTTATTTTCAGTTTATTTTTCTCTTGCTCTATGCAATATTAAGGCATTATTAATGTATAAAATACGTTTTTCAGATCAGCTTTATGAATGCTTGTCTTTTTACACATTTTTTACTAACCCACCTTGCGTCACAGGAAAGAGAAAACATCACCATCGTACAACATACGAGATATGGCAGCCATGTTCGAACAGAAGTCACAGAACAACACAAACGCCGGTTGACGGTTACCTAGCGACGGTAACGGAAACCGTAAATATGGTAACGGTGACGTTGTGTAACGGCAGCATCTAAGTGCCTCTATTGTATCGTGGGGGTAGAATATACGCCAAGTTAATTTTAAAAAAAGGCTACTAACCTGCGGGTAGTTTTAAAATTCAATTGGAGATTACTTCCAAATTTCAATGATGGACAATACTCAATAAGCGCTTTCTCTTTCTTGCAAAGGCATAATTTAAGCTGTTGGAAGGAGAAAGACAACTAAGGCTTCGTTCCGTTTTAAATGTTTTCAAAGCTTATGTATCGTCTGACGCTTTGGGCGTAGCTTTCACTGTTTAAGGGGAGGGTAGATAGAAATATTCGGAGATGCAGTGTAACGTCGATGATACCAACGGTTTATACGTTACTGTGAACCCTTTCATTTGTTTGTGAGTTAAAATATTGTTGTTTATTTATTGTTTATTGTATTTATTTAGTGATTAGTCGCTATTGTATAAATCTTGTCCGCACTGATTAAATTTAAACTGTTATTTGAAGGGCTTGGCTATTTAAGTAAAAAAACGAAACTACCTACATTAAATTGTCAAGTTAACGAGCACTCTCATCACAATTAAATTGTATTGTTTTATATTTAGGTTTAAGCGTAACACTATTCTGTTGATGCTACTTTTAGTGAATCTCGATGTTTTTTTGTACGTTTATATCAACACCCAAAACCAGTTTAAATGAGAATTTGCCTAGTCTATGCTATCGCTATGAAGATTCTAGTATCCACTTTGAATAACGCACTGTCAAAATTACTCATTTTTGAAGATTTGTTGCCATATATCAAACAAAATGCATTTATTACTATATTTTTGTAGAAGGCAAGGTTTCGTGTTGTGTTTGAATGATAAAGTTTTTAAAATTTAAGTAGAGATGTACACTTAATATTTTTTTTTCAACGAAAAAAAAATCTATCTATCTAATGTCATTTTTCAATATAAAAAAAAATTAAAATCTCATACTTATGTAGCAACGAATATACATCGCTCATCTTTGTCATTCAATTTGAACACTTATTACAACGTATTAGAGTTGAATTTCGTAATAGCAGACAATAACAAGAATTGAATACTTACTACTTAGCTTCTACGTTAATATTTAGATTAATATTCCCTTGCATTGTAAACGAGTGATTTTATATCGCATTTTAAAAGAAATAAAAAATCTTATTGCTTGTGTCTGCAGTTTAGATAAAACACTAACGGTTTAAAACACAATATATATTAAACAAAACCCAACTTCATGGAACTGATGGCGCCAGCGTAGCAGTTTTTTAATTTGACATTAGACACCCTCCATCTTCAGTCTCCCCGTGACCACGGCTGCTGCAATGCATCCGGAACGTCGAGCCGTAGTTAAATAATTTCCGAATAAGTTTATGATATGTATTGAGTTTTAAATCGTTAAGTTTTATTTAAACTTATAGTTGAGGATTTTTACAACAGAGAAAAAAAAAGTTTTTATATGCCTAGTTGCCTAGTAGTGGCTTTGGCCGAAACTCAAATAAAAAACGGAAGTACACTTTAAAACCAATGACGAAGTTGACGAATACAATAACAATAGCTTTTTACGCGATAAAGTTTTTTTTTTTTTCAATAAAGAGCTATGAGCAAGCCTGTTCGAAATTTAAATTAAACCTCTGATAAGTTACCTCTTTGATCGCCATGTTGCTGAGTAGATCGTTCCATTTTTAAATTTATTTGGCCGCTAAAACGACATATGGATTTTCATAGAGCCATTGCCGGCCGCTGCTCGACCAGTACAGCAAGTTTATGCTGCAAACGTTTGAGGGAAAAAATGGTCTTCGTCTAATAAAAACTCTAACTAAAAAGTTTAGGCCCATGTGCCTGTAAAATGCATTTAAAAATCACTCGTACTTCTTCAGACTGTGACTTTGCCAAATATCTTGTAGCCATATTCTTGTAACGCTGTTGTCTATGTGAATAATTTTTTAATCTTATCGTCTACGATTATACGAACTCTAAGAAGATCTTAACAAAAAACATAACACACAACATACACATGTAGCTTGAATTACTTTTAAATGGGTATGTTCAGTTTTGACCGCAAGTGGACAATAGTCTTCTTAAAAAGCCGACTGCCCATCTGTAGTGATACCATATCGAGTTTTCAAAATAATTCTTCAATATTATCTACATAGACAGCAGTAGAGTTGTCGACTAATATTGCTCTCTCTATCACACAACAGTACACAAACGAGCGAGATAGCAATATTCGAGACAACAGACTATTGAACCAATTGTAAAATTAAGAATAACCCCCTAATGTATCCATTTTTTGACAAATTTGTAATATAGGTATTTTTTAATAAAATATGAAAAATTGTACGCAAAGGGAACCGTATTTGTGTTGTGTTAAGGCAGCTAACTTTGCAGAACTGTATTGGAAGGGGGGGGGTGTTTCCGCCCCCCCCCCCATATACGCCAATGATTGTATGTATGATTACGATGAACCACGAATGTGTTTAATTGTGTTTTTTAAAAAACAAATACGGTTTCGCTAGAAAGAATAAAACAAGAGCTTTAAGCTTCGGGATGGAGCGACGCTGTCTTTAAGTATTGTAATATATTGTAATTTGTATTTACGAGTTGATATCTCGGCTTAGTAGTGTAGGTGAGGATTCATTATACACAATAAAAGTTATTGCGATCAGTTTTTTTCTTTTAATTAACAATTGGCTAAAGAAACAATTCCAACAAAAAATGATTCCCGGTGGGGATCAATCAAAGAATGATAGTATCGCTTTGGATACTCACAACTATTTCTGAAAATTAGGCGTTTCCTTAATTATATTAGAGGATATAGTTTTTGAGTTTTTACCATTTTTTAGTTTCAGCACAGTACAAAGAAAACACAGTCTAATAGAAATAGCTATATTTACAGACTAGTAAAATAAATTCGCGTAATACACTTAAAAGTAACTTAATTTCATAGCTATAAAATTTAGCAATCAATTCAAACAGCATGCATACAAAATATCTTCATAAAATACCTCACTAGTTCTCTCGTATAAACTTTGAAAGGTCTGTTGGGTCACAAGTCTAACATAAAGAGGTAGACCTTAGACCCACCATGCTGCCGCAGAGAGAGATACGTGCTTCCAGACTTTCAAAGAACAGCAACTGACACTAGAAATTCTCTCAGAACATTTTAACTAACCTGGTATTTGAAACCAAGACCACTAGTATATACCAACGAGGTAGTTACTTAGAAACAGATTATAAACTCGACCGTTTTCAATAATAGAAAGTAAACAAGTTATTTTTTAAGAATCGATTTCTAATTGAAGAAATCTACACGGGCAGGACTCGAACCTGCATCAACAGCGTACCGTGCTGTTGCTCTAACCAATGGAGCTACAGAGTCCGACACGTTATCGTCGAATTTTCGCATTACACCCTATTGATACAAGCAACTCACGCGCAATGTACTTTTTTTTCACATTATAATTGATTTTTAATTTATATGGTGAGTTATTTTTCATACAACAGAATTAGTGAAGTTAAAACAATATAATTTGAATGATAGCCACCTGTTAAGACACTTGAATGTTATAAAAACTATTAAAAACAATAGAAGCTAACATTCTAATATACACAATTCTTATTACATACTATTACATATAAAAGGCCTTGTTTAACAATATATTTGGACAGTACCGTATTGTTAGCATTCCCACAGCTGGGACACAGGCCTTTGCACCGGTATTTTTAATGACTGCTTCTTTAATATCTTGCTTGCCGTTGATTCGAGAATAAATGTGAATTAGATCTTATCAATTTGAACTGAAATCGAGCCAATAAGTTTCTCTCTGAGATTGACTACGCCGTTCACCACAGCACCATATATGTGCCTGTGTCCCAGGTTCGGAAACAAGTTAAAATTAGTTACTTTAAGAGAGCAAAGATGTTTGGTGCATATTAAAATCTATATAATACTTTAGCTGACATGTTTCAACAAGTCTTTAGTTTTTTCATTTATTTTCTTTTCTTCGCCCTTTTAGTTCAGTTTAGACCTTGATCCTTTACATACTACATTTTCAACGAATTTGAAACGTGAAATATATATTTGTGACTTTTCACCAGCCGGCGTTATGGATACAAAAATATATATACATCGCGTTTTAAACCGTTGAAAGTACCGTCTTTGTTTTAAACGTGATTTGAGTAATTTCAGAATTTTTCATAAATTTGTGACCATTTCAAAGTGCCATGCCATCAATTAGATGTCACGGAGTATGAGACAGACAGATTTATGTCTGTTTCATTAATATTTTTTCCCGTTTAAAGTAAAGGGTTTACGAAACCAAAACTTCCAACGTAAAAAAAGGGGCATATATAGTAATTTAATTATTTTATGACTTCAAAAATGGAAAATATTACCAATAGTAATTAAATTAATTTCGAGATCAATAAACATGATATGCGCCACAGATTATAAAACGGTTTAAGAGGAATTTGATCGTGATTTTGTAATAAAACTACTTTTTTCTATAATAACGACATCAGATACAGCACAGCCACTAGATTCAAATCCTCAGAAAGATTGAAATATTGTTTGCACCCAAAAATCAATCAGCGGCATGTTGACAATGAATATTTAAGTATTATAACCTTTAACTGTTTGAAACGCGCAACATACTGGTTAACTTACTTTCAACTACGACCCGATAGTTTTGAATGCTTTACAACAGTTATAGTCACGGGAAGATGTGTCATAAGTTAACGTATATAACTTCGCTTTTTAAACCGTTAGAAATTTATAGTAACTACAAACTTTTGCGATAAATTGATATCTTTGAACAATCAATAAAATTTACGTCTCGGCCAGGAATTGAACCGGCATCAACATCGTTCCGTGCTGTTACTGTAACCAATCGAGTCTTACAACAGCATGGAATGCTGTAGGTCGGTTCAAGTCCTGAAACGTAATTTTTTTATGTATAATCGATTTTTAATTAACATAATGCAATCATGCGCGTGTGAAAAATATTAAAGCTATGTAGTATCTGATCAAGATCCGGTCGCGCATACGATCTTACGCTAGAAATACAAAAAATGTTTAAAACACAGCGATATCACCCCTCGGTACCTGCGAGAGGTTGTCATCTATCGTCAGGTACATGTTGAAGGAGAAGAACATGGCGATGGAAGACATAAAATGCCAGATGTCGTGCGAGTCGTACAGCTGCAGAAGGCTGCACACTCTGTTGTTTTGACGCGATTGCGCAGGAGTCAACTGCGGAAAAGGGTTAACTATTTTTATTAATATTTGATATTTTTGTTTTGTTATTGAGAAAGGCTTTGGTCTAGTAAACATCGACCAATAGAAAGAAACATAGAAATTATTGTGTAATCGTCATTACTATATATTAATAAATAATAAATCTAGTAAAATGTATAATCATTAAGTCAATATAAAAGCAAAATTTGCACTAACAAACAATGGGAAAGTTTATCTCTATGTTTGTTTAATGAAATACTTTGATTAAAATTATGATTTTAATAAATTATTAGTTAAAAAAAAGCATTGTATCTTTATTGGGAATCTATTGAAGTAAATTTCTTCTACACAGTTGGGGTTGCAGAGTGTTTTTTGAAAAGGGACTAAATCCCTACTCACCGCCCAATTCGTGCTGAGGTCCAGATAGAAGTAGCTTGAACTGAACCAGACTGTGTACGTCAATGCGATGAAAACCCAACTGGAATAAAAAATAAATAATGTTCAAAACAACCACTTCACATTCTTCGACACTCGTTGGTTTTATAGCTAATAAACCACGGGTCGCCTGTTCGATCCCCGCTGGTTCCAACAACTAATCAATTTATAATTTTTCTGAAACATGTAAAAATATCAACATTCCGTCCAAGTCACCAACCACCGCCCACAGATAAAAAATGCAGTAAAGTTTAATTATATTTCGGTTTCAGTCCGTGGATTTCCAAATATCTAAAGGCAAGGAGATAAGGCTGTATCACCTCGGCCTATCCTCCATCCTTAATAATTTAAAAGTGTATGTACAATATTTACCTATACCATCTGATCGATTCCCGATGCAACAATTTCATAGCGATATAGAACAACGTGTACAGAAACAGGTTGCTCATTAGCACCAGTAGGAGGTGCGATGCGAAGTCCCTACTGTGCTGTGTTACACTGTGAAAAAAAAAACGGTTGAAAACGTGACCATATAACTCTCCAGCGATTACAAGTGTTCCAAAGCTTCCGAAACGAAGGATCGTGGTAAAAGGAAAGTTAAGTATTTTATATTTTTAGTTATAAACCGTTAATTAATTTAAAAATCTAAAAACATAATATTTATTTAATATTATTTTTGTTAGATGTCTGTCAGCTACGTTAAATAATTATTTTCTTTAATTTAATCTTATGTACAGGCAAATAGTTTATTTTTAGACATCTGTACCTCAGACTAAAACATTTACTAGCGTTTACATCATGCCATCGAAAGCCCTTTCATACGGAACCCCAATAAATAATGGTCTTCAAACACAAACCCATAAGCAGCGATGGCCCAGTTCGCAAGATTGGCAATGACCAACAGCACGCAACGCCCGCAATGAGTCGGCGTCACTGCAGCCAACGGTTGCCTCACGAACTCTTTCAGCCCTTTGTAGATGACAGCGCCCTCTGTTACATATAAAAAAAATATATACCAAAAATTATTATTAATTTTAATAAAATTTCAACCTAATTACAAATTTTAGGGGATAAGCTTTAAATTTCATTAAATTATTTCAGATTACTATTAACTTACTGCCTCGTTGTACTAAGCGATATATCATCAATATTAAAATAGTGGATTCGATTCCCACCTATTTTTTTATGTTACAAAAGGACAGAACATCTAGATTAGACGCTCTGTCGTACTTCGTCTTTGGATATCCGGATATCCGGAGACTGAAATAGAAAGGCGATTAAACTCGACGACCTTATCATCTGTGGACGGTGGTTCGTGACCCGGATGGAATTTCGATATTTCACATATTATGTTTCCAATGTATTCTTCTGGTTAACCTGGATAATGGTCCATGTCTAACCGTGAACTGCAAAACTCATCAGTATCGGACCATGGGTTTCCCAAGTCAAAATAGGTCAACAACACATCTTATCCACATAGTCTATGGCTGGGGATATTAAATCGAACCCCACTTGTCTGTCTTCTGTCATAAACAATATCATTGCCTTGGATAAGCGTTTAGTGTATTCGGCTGCAGATCACGTGGTCCAAGGTTCGACTCCGCTGTCGTTATGTTTGAAAGTAGGCTATTCTCTGCCTTACCCCATCTAAATCTGCCCAGGTAGTAGATCTGGAAGGTCATAACGAGGCAGGTGACCAGGTGTAGCACTGTGAAAGCCACCCAGAAGTAAAAGTTGGCGTTCAGTACTCCGACCAGACCTAAAAATTCATGAAATGTGTTTGACAATAGCGAAATGTACTAAGCTAGTATTGTTTACACCACAAATTTCGAGTTATCTATAAACACTAGCTCTGTAAGACCGCCTCTGTAGCCAAGTGGTTAAACGTATTGCCTAGCATTGCGTTATGCGCGAGAAGTCCTGGGTTCGAATTCCAGGGAAACAAAAAAATATATTTTCCGGTCCTAGGGCACAGAAGTCTGATCAACTTTGTCTGTTAAACAAAGATCATAAAAAAAAGAAGGAAAGGGATTTAATGTCAACTATAAAATAGCTACCTGGCAAATGTTGACTTGCCATATGATAATACTAAATTTGATTTATCATAAAAAGTTTGAGTAAACACTGTCGGCATTTTTATATTGTAACGAAATCATAATTTTCCTTTTTCTCAATATTTTCTTATTGGTCGCAGTAGTTTTTATAACTAAAACCTTTTTATAAATTCTAACCACCACATAAAATTTATTAATTGAAAAGTTCTTTGCGCGTTGAAACAAAAAACAAACTCTTCAGCTTTATACATAGTAAGGATAAAGTAAAAAATAAAAATCCGTTTCCACCCATGGGGCGGCATAAAAGGATGGTTACATGTCTGCGTCCATTTGACTGATCAATTTTACAGTATATATCATGTCTTGATAATGTCCCCTCTCTTATTGTAAGGCACGTATAGCAACTGAACTACGAAAGCAGTCTTCAAATCTTAACACTAAAAATACTTACCAATAAATATAATCAACGCGAGGACACCGAACGTAGCATGCGCCCGCGCGTTTATATCTGGATGGCGTGACTGATAGATTTTCACCATACAAAGCACGCTCGTTATGTACATGAATGAGGTATCTGAAAATGTACAATAATAGTGAACTTAAAAGAAGAGCAACAGAAAGAAAAAATCTATACTAATATAATGGGTTTGTTTGTTCGAACCAATAGTTCCTGAGATTAGCGCGTTCAGAAAAACAAACTCTTCAGCTTTGTAATATTATCATGAGGTGTATCTCGCTGTGCTATAAATAGTTAGGTTTAAACATCTAAAATAATTATTAAGTTACAAAAATAGTTACCGAACTGGAAGTTCATGCTATTGGGACAGACGTGGTAAGCTGCTGACAGGAGACCCTCGCTCACCAGCGCTATCCCCATCGCGTAAAGCAACCCGAAGTGTTGTGGTATACCTAACTGTAAATTAAAAATGTATTTTTAACAATAAAAAAGCGTATTTCTATCTGATAATTGCTAGTTGGGTGATTGTCGAGAAAATGGGTATGTAAATTTAAAGAAAAAGTGTTTGCTCTGCCACCTAAGCTACCGTGCTATGTTATAAGAATAAGTGTAAAGCTATGAAAAAAAAACCATCACTGGGCCTCACTGTTGCTTAACTTTAAATAAAACTGATCACTGAGAGTTTACGCTTTTACACTGCCAATTTAATTAAAAATCGATCTTAGATTGAAAAGAAATTACGACACGGGCAGGACTTGAATCGGCATCTACAGCAACCCGTGCTGCTGCTCTTAAATCCATTATGCCATCATGTGAAAAATATTAAAGTACTACTTACATTGACATCATTGTACCGTCTATGCCTATTCCATACTTCGACAAGGAATAATGCCCCGAGTAAAACATAACCGAGGTTCGAGTAGACGTGATTAAAATCTGACAGCACCATTAGTGGATGGGCGCACAGAAAGTTGAAATAGCACAAATCCTGGTTGCCGGATTGATTGAGTAGCTGCAAGGAGAGATAAATATTTTTATAGTATCCGGCTCGAAGGACCACGCAGTTAAGGGCATTGATGGCTTCATGTACGGATGTTTACACAGTAATCTCCAGCAAAGCTTATTATATTTCTATAATTTATGTACTTTACACAAAAGTACCTTTATAGAAAGCAAAAAACAATGTAGAACTCATTTAGGAACATATAAGACATAGTGTTAAGGACACAAATTAAAACTTACCCTTTGATACGTTATAACAAGTTGTATGACGGGTAAAGTGTAAAAAACTGCGACAGTAAGCACATTCCACAAATACATCTTGGAGCGGGCGTATAGGACTCGAGGCCGGCATCTGAACATAATAATTCATCAATCGTAATTTAGGTGAAGTTTTTATATCATTACATTTCCAAAACTCACTACGATAATACAACGAGTAGATCAAATGGAAAATCTTATATAAATCTATGACAGATTAAATTCAAAGACAAAAGTGAAATTCCTTTCCCCCACCTTCCCTTCCGCCAGTTCACTGTTCAAAATAATTTATAAACAAATTAAATCATACTCCTGTTCGACTGAAAGTGATTATTTCTCCCTCCCCTTTGAAATTAATGAAAGAAGTAAGATATAAGAAATCAGAAACATAATAATTAGGTGGTGATTTCAAAAAAAAAAACTAATGCTTTCATAAAATTTAAAAAATAAACTGACCGTGATAAATTGGCAACACACAGTTTGTTGCCCTGAAGATAGAGATCCTTGTCCACGTTGCTTTCATCATCGTTAGATTCAGTGTCGGAAGATGAACTACCCTCTGTTAACATTAATAAATTATAAATTAACATGGTACTGGTTTAGAACAGTTAAAAGTTTTAGTATTTAATTCTATAATTCGTTTGGTCAGCCATAAGCTTCATCAATTACTTAACTCTTAATGACAAAGGAGAGGGCCAAGTAAACAAGATGCCGCCCAATTTTTAATGACATTTACTTAAAAGCCAATATTATAAACATTTAAAAGGTTAACTTCAGTTTCATTTAAATGATTTCCTAACACAAGTTCAGTTTAATGGAAAACATGAATTGGGCACCTTTAAAAGAGTGAAGACTGAGAAGCTTGCCCGTAAATAAAATCGACCAGTGAATCAGACATAGGGGAGACGAGACTGCGTGTGTGCAAATATTACCTGTCCTAGTGGGCGTGTCTCCTTGGCAGTATCGACTTCCGCTGCTGCCATCTAGCCCATGCCTAATGTACGATATCTGGGAATTGTCGATTGGTGTGGTGGGTGGCAGCAACATTTCTAAAGAGACAAACAAATTATGTTTACATTTTTTTAAATTATGAAATTATATATAAAAATGGGGTTTAATCACGTCACGGGGACGTTTCCCCGGCTACTAACTAATATATATCGCGTTTTAAACCGTCAAATGTTTTATTTCAATATAATTCTCGAGTTAAATAATAATGATATAAAAAAATAAAAAGGTTTATCATAAAAGTAATCTTAATATTGATGTGTTGATTCATATATGGATTAACACATCAATATTAAGATTTTTCGATCGAAGATTGAACATTTCTTCAACCCTGTCATCTGTGGCAACAACTTCACTCTATAATCACTAGTTCTCTATGGTTTAAATCGGCCAAAGACAGAACGTTTGGGATACCTTCGTCGTGTTGATACCGCCTCTTCTGGCAGATAAGGACGATGATAAAGGCCACATAGAAGGACAGGAAGAAAGCCAGAGCTGCGCCCGCAGCTATCATGTACTCACGATACGATATCGTCTCTATTACGCGTAAACTGTAAGACAAACAAACGAAATAACGGTTAAATAATATGTTTAACCGTTTTATTTTGTTTTAAAGTTTTTTTTGTGCATGCCGTAGTCTAGTGTAGATGGAATCTTTTATAATTTTAGCCAGGACACGAATATCATTTTGAAAAGCTCCTACATTGGAGACGGATAACATATCTAGTCTCACAAAAATAATAAAAATTACATACAAAACTCACCTGAACGTTTTCACCCTCCCGTCGTTAGTGGGTACACTAATCGTGTCGTCCCACCCAAAGTACTGAGCCATTTTCGGTAAGGTCGAGTTGGCGATGGATTGGCCGCTGCAGTCTTCGTCCGAGGTTTTCACGATGAACACTATGTAAAACCCAGTCGGGAACATGTCTTGCTGGAAAAAAAAGACAATTTTTCAATTATAATGTTATTTTTATTAATATAGAGGGGGACTTCACTTGATAGTAGCTGAGATACCCCAGCCACATAAGATGTAAGCAGAATGTGCTGTCGACCAAGTTTGGCTTTGGTTATTCGGAGAATTATTTACAATTTATTTGACTAACGTGGATCCCTTGTAACCACGACTGCTGCAAAGCATCTGCATCGTCGGGTCGTAGTTAAAAAATTTAAATAAGTTAATACATTTCGCGTTTTGAATAGCTAAATGTGTTATCTTATGGTTTAATATAAGTAATTTGAATTTATCATACCGTTAATGTAATCCCGCCGCGTCTTGTCATCGTCAAATAGTATCCATCGTATAAAATGTCCCTTTCATTGTCGAACACTGGACACTGGAATCAAGAATATACCCATATATTATTAGGCAATGCTTATCTCCTACCAGTACTAGTAACCTATGTCGACCTATTGCCATAATAAAACACATACTCACATATTGGGACACCTGACACCATTAATCTAAGTTTAACAATTTAATTCTGATAGGCTATATACGTAGAAGAAAGGGAATCTTCACATGGACAGTATCCAGATAGTCTGATTGCATAACGCGTTACAGGGGTGACAGAGTAGAACTTACCGAAAAGTTTTGTATAGAGACAAGAGCACAGATATCATCATCCGACTCAATCATCAATATCACACTCTTCGGTCGGGACAACCAGCCATAATCTCTTTCAAGATTTCTATTCAGAAAACTCTTCTCCCCAGACATACATAGATACTTCTTCCTCTCTCTCTGGGTTGCCAGATCCACAATTTTATTCTTCCTCTGATCGAATGGATAGAAGTAGTATTTTGGTTGGCTCGGTGTGGTAGTTAAATTTGTGGTTGTATTAAGTTTTATGTAGAAATCTTGTACTGTCTCGACGAGTATGGTAACACTGATTGGGTCCGGCGATGATGACGTTAAGTGGACGATCGGGGTGTTCAGTGTTGTCACATCTGAAAAGTTAAAATTAAATAATTAGACCTTATTGTTGCGTACATTTAAAGCTGTACACGCGGTTTTATGTTTGTTGACAATGAAATGTGAAACGGAACCCTAGAATATGCTTTGTGAATGAATCTATCAATGACGAACAAGTATAAGAACATTTCAACTTAGGTAGGTTACAAAGGAGTTCAGTTTTTTATGTTTCTTTCATGAACTAAACTACAATGCACTAAAGAAAACCTTGAAAATTAAGTATAGCAAGACGTTTGGAATTGCTTTCATAATCATACAAGTTTTTCACAGAGGAGAGCAGACAAGAACGGGGCTCACTTAATAGACGACGAAATCCGTAACATAAAAATAATATAAAAACGTAAATAACATAAAAACAAGTACGCAGTCGACCAAATTTGGCTTTAGACATTCAGCAATCCACAGACTGAAAACAAAACGTGGACGCTGTGAAACGGTGGTTCCCGACCCGGGTAGAATTTTTGACTTCCTACCGCCCTTATAATATTTCGAGAGGGATCCAAGAATGTTAAATTGTCTTAAATAGAGACCTGGTCGAAATTGAAGCCATGATCATTGATCAATCCTTGATCCGTCCTTTAATTGGTCTGATGCTTTCATTTAGCTTTTGATCAAACCACCTAAGTTGAAAGCTATTAGCCGTTATGTCGTATTAAACATGAAAATTAAATATTTACGTATCAAAGGCCCGCAGTACACCCGTATCCATTTGTCACTGACTGAGGCGTGAACAGAAAGAGAAAGGAATGTGAGCTAGTTGTAAATAGAAAGAGATAGATACCTATCCGATACCGAAAGGCCTTGCAAAGACATTTGATACAAAATCATTTTAAACAATCGCTAATTATCACTGCCACTTATTTTGATTATTAATAAATATTCAAATAAAACACTTTAACGGTTTAAAACGCGATATATTAGTTAAACTTATTTGAAATTTTTCCTTCCCCCCGTGACCACGGCTGCTGCAAAGCATCCGAAACGTCGGGCCGAAGTTAAAAATCATTTTCAAATAAGTTTAACTAATATATCGCGTTTTAAACCGTTTAAGTGTTTTATTTAAATGTGTACTACTCGCGTAAACTATAGACAGTATTAGTAACTAATTTAGCACAAATTCTATGTATTTGATGATAGAATTAGACAACTTACGGCAGGTGTCTTCATCCTCCGAAAATATGTTATTGTGGGGGCACAATGTTCTGGATATGTTTGTGAATTGTTCTAAACCGTTAAATGTCTGTACAATCATCGGTAACTGCCACGAGAATACACCTGTAATAAACAGAAGACGTAGTAGAAGTGTTACATGGACACTGAGCTCCTAAGTCACCTTTAGTTAGTACCTTTTTGTTGTCTTGCAGTTATGAATAGTGGATAGGTGCGGTTAGCGAAGTCACTGGCTACCGTCACCCGTGCTGGTGTATCGTAAGCTTCATAGTCCTGAAACATACAACAATTCCACCACCATTCAAACGAAAATCCATTACGGCTAATACGTAAATGTATACTAAGCACGCGCAAATAGACAGCAGGTCCGTGCGCCAAACCAAACCTGTTAAAAAAAAAGGAAATCTTGAGTGTTCCCAACGGAAGAGATTTTTATTTATAAAATAGTTTTCAACGGCGCGTTTCAAAAAAGGTTTTTATTAGACTTGCAACGAATATTCGGTTACTATTCGGTATTCGGCCTATTCGGCTGCTTTTATTATATTCGGTCGAATACCGAATATCTACATATTATTCGGCCGAATAACGAATACTTAAATAATATATTTTGTCATAGAGAAATAATTGGTAAAATGAAAAATTAAAATCGATTGCTTACGTATATATTCATATTTTTATTTCTGTTATAATCATATAAGTAGTCATTGGTACATAATACTATAATAGTAGTAATTGGTACATAATAATAACGAGTACGTTAGAACAAAACAAAGAAGCGCGAAACAATCACGTCTGTACAAGTTTTTGGAGCAAAAATCCAGCCGAATACTTTTGCCTAATATTCGACTATTCGGTCAGGGGTCTCGCCGAATATTCGGTATTCGGTATACTGCCGAATATACTATTCGTTGCAAGTCTATTTTTTATTGTTTTATGTGAAAATTACACAAACGAATTGGCTAATATGCCTAATTTTATTTATTTATTTACACTTTATTGCACAAAAATATAAACGAGACTTATATGCTAAAAATATGGAGTGCAATGGGCGGTTATCGCTAACGAGCGATCTCTTCCAGCCAACCCAAGATGAAAGAGGAAAAAGTTTACGGGAAAACGAGATATGCATGGTGGGCAAAACAAAATTTACAATGTTAAATATAATCTTAAACATATCAAAATAAAACTTCTCTACGGAAACTAAACTAAAAGAAGGATTGCGTAACGATATTATAGATAATGACAATTTATTCAGATGGGTAATTAAGTGACATTAAGTGCTTGTAGAGGAGCCTTTTAAAGGATAGGAGGGAATTCTAAAGTTAATCAATTAAAAAAAATAACATAGTATGCTGTGAACAAAACTGCAAGTTAATCTTAAAATATATAACACCAACATAGAGACAAGTGCTGGAATTTTTTTATTATCATCCTCAAAATAGCCCATTGTATTAAATGGAATGAAAACAGGCAAAATTATATTAGGAAACTAGGTTACAAGATTTCAAAAAATGTTCTCTTTATTGTATCAGTGCATGATCTAACAGACAATATTACATCAGACTTTTATATGGTTGTATGATAGTGGCAAAGGCTGTGACCTAAACTCCACATGATAAAAATACAGATCTACAACAAAAAGATTTAACAAGTAATACCTTAGTAAAATGGTTAATGCCCACAGAATGACTTTGTCACAACTGGTGCTAAGCGTAACTATTTTGTTAATAAAGTATTTTGCACTTAAACCTTTAAAACGTTAGGGTCATCAATTTACAGTTTTATTAAGGCCTTAGATGTCCCAAATAAAAATCCTAACTACAATTGACTATATATGAATCACAAAATATAAATTAAAATAATTACAAATAAATGACTATAGACGACCAAATGATTTGAACAAATAATCAAGACTAAATAAATAATATCGGACGAAAGTGTCTGCCACACATGCATTTAGCAAGAATCTGCATCAGCATTTTAAAATAAAATATGCGCCAACAGCATTTATTAAATTTGTACTACCGTTACTCTACAGACAATACTTTGTAATACTTGTACATATTTATAAAAACAAGGAAACTTTTGACTTACACCACCAAATTCCATAATGTATTCAGTGTTTTTACTAACTGCAACAGTATATGGTTCATTGTATTTGTATCTGGAAAAAAAAGGGTTTGTCTTTAAGCAATCTCTTCATAAAGCAATATGTTTTAACAAGAAAACAAAAGCATTAATAATAATGCCAAATGAAAATTATCATGTTATAAATAGGGTCATAAAAGATGTAAATATATTTTTATCATGACATTATAACGTTGAAACAATGATTGAATCTAACTTTTCCAAATCAACTTACGTGTTGTTGTAGTGGAATATGATTTCCTCTCTATTGACCGCAAAACAACAGCAAAATAAACTTATTAGCACATAGATATGCAACCACAAAAAAATCATTATAGATTGGACATTTAAACTAAAATATGCATTATATAAATAAAAACTTTGATATGAACTGTAATTTTATACTAATGCACGAATACAAATAACATATAAAAACGAAAATTATGTATATAACTAATTACAAATTACAATAGTAAAGATATTGAAAAATTAAAATCTTTTGTTGTTTAATAAATCGTAACCACAGACACAACTAAAAATGTCAATTTTTTTTTTGACAACATGTCAGTGTTGCCTAAGGGTTTAACAATCTCAGTCTGCATTAAATTTTATTTTTTTAGTTATTTAAATGAACTTAGAACTTTATTACATTTTCCTTACACTAAGATTTCTAAATGCTTAGGGTAATTAATTAAAATTATATATATGTTAAACGATTTAATTACGTACCAATGTTTTTTGTTTAAGATATTACGTGTATAAACTGTAAAAACAACTATATACATATTACACATATGTGTTTTATTCAAATGTAAAATACAACAAAATTTAATTTTAAATATGCAAAGTATTTTATTTTCTTCCTAAGTATTAACTTGATTATTAGGATAACAAGTAACGTAATTTTCTCACCTGGTATTACCAAATGTTAATTGTCAATCAAGTTACGCCTTCCCGACAAGTATCAAGTAAAGTTGAAACACTTGACACTTGTTATTGAAACAATCTATGTTTACGCTATTATCAAGATCGGTTGTTTTTTCAGTTTATTTCTAACTTTCTTTGCGTTGTCGTGGTCTTCATAATTTCATTGCGTCTAAACATCATAAGATATGATAATCAATATTTAAATTATTAAACTTATTATGCTAAAAGCGAATAATAAGAATATGCTGACTCGCTAAACGTAACTACGAAAAATACACGCGCTTCAACTCGTAAATGCAGAAACCTTGCGCAAGCTGCAATTCACCAGGACGTGGCGTTGATGAGGTGCGTTTAAAAAATTCTACTAATAGCCTTACAGATATGAAGAAAATTATACAATCCAAATTCGACCATATGGAGATTACGAACCGTGCACACGCGTCGCTGTCGCCCGATGTGGACACGAAGCCAGAGCCATCGGCAGTCCAGCCGCCGTTGCCGTTAGTTCCACCGCCCCCAGATGAGCCATGGATGCCAGTGACCGTTAAACAAGAAGTTGAAGACTACGACTACAAGGATACATCTTTGACGATTGAGCCGAAAACCGAAATTCCCGAAAAGGTGAAGCAGAAAGTATGTCGAGATTTTATACGTGGCACTTGCAAGCGAGTAGGCTGCAGATTTACTCACAAATATGAATTGTCAGAACTTGTGGGTATATACACATTTTGTAGAGAGTTTCAAACGAAACGGTGCACTCGCGTCCACTGTAAGTACGTCCACGCTGATGTCTTTGAAGAACAGAACTTCTATAGAACGGGTTATTTGCCGGTCCATGCTTTTGCACATCAGAAAAAAGCGGAACCGAGCACACCGCCGTCCCAAGTTGTAAGTCCGGCGATGCCTCCTCCCCCGCCTCCACCTCCACCACCTCCGGAAGAAACGCTACCTATGCCTCCAGAATACTTGTTCAAAATCCCTCCACCTCCCCTACCAGTGGAACCCTCGACTTCAAGTTTAGAGTCACCGGTACTTGACATTCTTCAAACCGGTATAAGACGACCATGGGACGCCCTAGAGTCTATATCTTTGTATAATTCAGAGACTTCAAGTCCCCCAAAGAAATGCAACCATTGCCCAATAATGGAATTTTGTGAACAGCATAGTAAGAGTAAACTTGAAAAGATGGATCAAGACATAGCAAATATCAATAGTAAAATAGATAGGCTCGATGAAAAGATTCTTAAAATGGACGAAATTATCGTCACCTGTCTAGGCAATAAACAGTCACCATATTTGACTAATCCATATTGGTAGATAAAGTGTGGTTTGTGATGTACGAAGTGTCCAAAACTTTTTGACAGACAGTTAAATAAATTTGTCCCTACAAACTTTACTGTGAACACCTTCTACATCCTATGAATTTTAATTATATAAGTTTGTTTTTAATTATTAGTTTAGGTTAAATTTTAAAAATAATAGTTCAAAATTAGTTACTTAAGTGTTAAGTTCAGACCTAAATTAGAACTTACACTTAAACCAAATAAATCTTTTAATGGTTTGAAACGCTTCAGCAGCTTAAGCGGCAGCCTTGAATGCGGAGGGTATAAATTAACTGATTCGCATTTTAAACTGTTAAAATTTACTTTCCATTGCTCTGTGTTTGACAAACTTGATGTCTGCATGCTTAGACATTGTTTTAGTTTGCAAATTGTTTTATCTCATTTGAAATATTATTCTTTTTCACATATTAGTAATACATATAATTTTCCCACATAACAATAATGTTTCAAGTGTTACTCTTTATTTACATCTTCAATGATTTCTTTTGTTGCAAAGCATAGGATATTAAACATCTATATGTAAGTTATGGTTGTAACAACGATGCGCTGATATAGGATTGAACAAATTAGATGAGAGCTTGGTACAGCATAATTTAGCTAGAGCAACACCACAGTTGCTGTGGTCAAAAGTTTGAATACCACCTTCATGTGATTTTTTCAATCCAATGACATTGTACGAGATGATGGCTGGCCGATGCCATTTCTGTAAACTGGTGCTAATTCTGGTGAATGGTAGGCCATCACCACATGTGTTATGGTATCAAACATGGTTCTAAACCTGAAAACAGGCTGACAATGTCAATTTAGTCCCTAAGTTTTACTAATTCATATTTTCTTTATGTTGTAATACTCAGTGAAGTGAATTTGATATATTAGTTTTCTAGTTTGATAACCAAATGCTTTTAAAGTTCACTTATATTTTAGTTTAGATATGCCTTGTCTCAAATTGTCGTTGGCCTGACAGGTATTTATAAATGGGGCCTTTTAGTCTTCCTCCATATTCCTTTTCTAAAATAAATACTTGGTTTCTAATACAACAGTGTTTCACTTTAATATTGTCCTTTTTGCAATAACAAAATTTTTCTTTACGATAAAATTCTGTTAAGAAGAGTAAACTTTTGTTTTGATTTTTTTTTTTTAAGGATTTATAACAGTACAGGTGTGAGGTTTGAACATAAATTGAGACATATTCATGTAATATTTTTTTTATAATAGAGAATTTTTGATATTGTTACCACCCACCTAAAATGCAGATTTTCAGATGTAGTTCAACATGTTTCAGAAATTTATTAGAAATAATATGTTAGGGAGATTGATATATTGTAGTAGTATTTATATTATAATGGAATAAAATAACCTTTGATTCAATTTTGCAAAATAATTATACCAAGCTATATTATATTATTTGTGTCTTTTCAAGATATAGAAATATTAAATAAAATTTACTACATATCAGTCAGTTGTCATATCGTTAGATTTGTAAAATAAAACAATATATTTCATAATTAAAAATTTGTATTCATAAATAGAATATAGGCCCCCATGACCACAATTCCTGCAAAGTAACTTCAGGTTGTAGGTAAAAGATATATGATGAGTGATATCTCGTTGTAACCGTTGAGAATTTAATGCATACCATTCTCGTTACGAAGCACGACTCCATGACATGACATTACATTTTACACAATGAGTGTTTATGAGGTGCTTGGGCTATTTATGTGGGCAAGGAGGGTAGTTACGTTTAATTATATTTTCCAAAATATATATATTTATTTCACCTTCAAAAGAACTAGCGTTAAGCAACGGCTCGTGCACTTTTTCGCCGCTCGTTGTACGGAACGGACGTGCTACCCGGTCGATAGGATTTTGTTGAATTTAAATTTATTTAGTTGTTGTGTTATTTTGTTTTTATTTTAGTAAATCTGCTTCTGATACCTAAAAATATATAAACTTATTTGATAATTCTTTTAACCGCGGCCCGACGTTTTGAATCCTTTGCAACAGCCGTGGTCACGCGTAAACTACAGACAATGTTTACCTAAGTATGTGTTATGTTTCAATTAACTTAATACATTTAGGTAGAATTTTAACAATAAATTATATATAATATTAATACTTGATTGAAGTGTTACTGCTTAACTATTTTCGTATTTATTCAATGACTAGCGCCATTAATTTGGAATGTTTTGTATCATCCTCAATCCCTGGAAAACAGTAGCCTTTTCCCGCCAAATCTTCGTACGACATTACGAAAACATCTTGAAATCCCGCCTTTTTCGCCACCGCTTGCGAAGCAGCCGCTGTGAAGACGGTAGCTGTCACTTTTATGCCAAGAGCTTTGCAGATTGGTACGCTGAAATGTAAAGAATAAAATTGTTTAGCTGTGTAAATCTCATATAACTCATATAATTCTATACGATCGACTTTATTATAGTCTGTGGGAAATGTCACGTGACTCAACACTTAATTCTCACTGGCCGAGCGAGCTAAAAAAGCAATCTTTGCCTTTTTTAACACTTATACGATAAATACAGAAATATATAAGCAAAAATAAAGATACTTATGTGTAGCTAGCAGCTCATGCTGTACCTAAGAATAGGCACGGCGTTTATTTTTAGTTTTATCTAAGGTCTAGCTCTGCCCTCGAGTTCGTCTGCGTTGCATAGTTATTTCCTCCTCATTTTTATTGTTTGGTTATAAATTATACGTGTTACACACTACGTCGGCTGCGTCTCATCGTTGTTGAAAATTAATAATAGATAGCCATATACTGTCTAGGTATTTATTTGGATCATTTACAGAGGAATTAATCGTTCATACATATTTTCGGTATCTTTAACTATTTTCGCACCGCTTGCAACAGAAGCACTTAAACATGAATGCTTTCCCCGTTTTCCCATATTTTTTATTGTTTCTTCTCTCCTGTTCCGCAAAATAATGTTTTATAACCAAAAACCTGCCTGGATACATGGTCTATTAAAACATGAAATACATTGATTTTTTTTTATTTGTATTATTAGTTCCCGAGATGAGCGCGTTCAAATAAACAAAACAGCTTTATAATATCAGTATGGATCAGTGGCGTTGCAATCGTAGGGCCCCGATTTAGGGGCCCTCTAACCTTATCTTTGTGAAGATATAAGCGTAAAAGAAAAGTATTTTTTAACGTTCTTGTTGCTGTTTATAATTTTGGAGGTTCATTTAATTCAAGCTATGGTAAAAGAGTGGGCGAGGACCCGATTCTTTATTGAGCCTTAGGATTAGGGATACCGGGGTCCTTTTCCACCTAGCTACGCTACTGGTACAGATACAATGAAAAGTCACCAAAATCATGTAATACACACACAGTACACGTTCTATAAACAAGAATCATTCAGAAACGATTTCTATCAGTCTTATCCAGTTTGTGTCTTTGCTTGCAATCGACTTTAACGATTTTTTTCTCTGGCAACACATTGCGCGTTATATGATATATCGGCTGGGCGAATCCAAAATCTAATTCGCAATAATATAAGTGCTTATTTCGATCGGCTGGATTTGGGTAGTACGCAGCATGTAGTAACTCGTCTACTTCGTATAATCTAACATCTATTGTGTGTTGAAATAGTACTCCGCTCAACAACATCCTCTCTATAACCACGCACGTGTCGTGTCCGATTTCATTCCCGAATATATTAAAGAAGCGCAAATAGAACGCCTTTTTGAGGGTATTCAGCAAATCGAGTAGGCCAGTGTCCGTTATTCTGTTATTGCTCAAGTCCAGCGCGCGAATTTTCGAATATGGCAACCCGAAACTTAGCGCTCGTGCCCCGGTATCCTTAATTCCGTTTCCAGCTAGGTTTATGAGGACTAATTGAGGGTTCTCGTTCAAATACTTTGCTAATAACTCCGCTCCATAGTCACCGATTTTGTTGTAACCCAGATCGAGGTAAAGCAGAGTGCTATTCTTTCGCAGCCCCCGACCAAAGTACTCAATGTCATGGGCAACGAATTCGTTCTTCTGCAGATGCAGTTCTATGATCGTCGAGTTTCTTTCGAGTAAATATTCCATGTGATACGCCAGCCATTTTGTTTCATACGAGTACCGATTGAAAACGGGAACGATTCTACTCAAATCGAGCACTTTAATCGTTGTATTCGCTCCGTGATCGATTCTCAGCGCTGTAACGACGTGAGCTATACTAGTTAGAGTCAGCGACGTCTCACCGATATCACAGAACTGGACACTCTTATTCTTAACCAAGAAATCGGCAAAATACTCCCCCCCCTTTTCGCCGAAATCGTTACCGTTCAATCTAATATACTTGAGCTTTAAAAACTCGGCGTACTTAGATAGATTTAAAATCGATTCTTCCGTTAGATCGTTGTTCATTATATTCAAGTTGTTTATGCTGGAGCGGCCCTTGATGAGAAGCTTCTTGAGTAGTTTGAAGAATCCGACGTCAGTTATGTTGTTGTAGGACAAATCGAGTCGAGTTATTATCTTTGGTGAGTCTCGAATGTACAGAATAAGCGCTCGGATATCAACATCGCTGATCCGCCTCTGGTATCTGCTGTATATGTCGTTGCCTTTTAATATTAGATAGGCTGTGCCATCAGAATTTCTCTCGGTGAAGAGCCCAAGGCGTATTTTGTTTATCTCCGTGCACCTAAGGAATGGCGGAGCACCAGTAATCTGCTTCAATAGAGCGTCTTTGTCGCATATACATCGGCGTTTGCGGGATTTCGGTGTCATTGTGTCGAAGATTAATTAATTTTTATTTATTGTATACTGATTTTATACTTATTGGATTGATATTGAATACTGATTTATATTTGTTCGGTCTTATTGAATTGACAGAAATTGTTGTCATTGATATTTTCTGCGCAATAAAACCTCTACGGCTAAAAGATACCAGTTCGTCTATGATACATAAATTCTATTTAGGTATTAATAAGGCTGTTTAGTGGTGTTTGCACCTGATGTTTGATCTTGAGGTCAAATGTAGGTACAATATCTCAGTTCAGTTAATCTATCTCTAGTTTAGTTAAATAAAAGCCTACTATTTTATTTCTTAAACTTTGTAATAATAATGTGAGTAGTTTACGGTACGTATGTTTAAATAACAAAAAATAGATTTGGATTTGAAGGGTGTGTCAGCGACTTCGTCCACAAGAACCGTTATTTTGAGCATCGAAATTCATTTTTGCAAACCCCCTCATCTCTATAAACTTAAACTGTTACCCACGGCGTCGGTCGCGTCCCTTCCCGTCGTTCTTGCAAAAAAGAAAGACATAAAGCGTCGAGGATTTTCTTTTTTATAGAGAAATCATTCTTTTATACATATTTTTTTTGGGTAACTTGAACTGTTTTCTCAGCATACGCCTCGGAAACCTATAATTATGAATAATTATCCCAATTTTCACAAATCTCGCTGTACCTTTACTTGAATTAGTCGATGCCAGAGCAAACAGAGCGATGTTTCATAGCCCATATCTAAGCATATATATAGATATATGTTTTATACCTTCCTCGATTAATGTTCCAACCGACACAAAAATAATTTTTCAATTCGAACCCGTAGTTCCTAAGATGTGCGCGTTCAAACATACAAACAAACAAACCTTTCTGCTTTATTAGTATATATATATATATATAAATAAATGATAAATGTAGTTATATTCCACATTAATAATCAAAATCAGCCAAGAAAATTTATATCAACAGTTTGTTGGAGTGATAGAATCGGTTCGAATTTCGCTCGCCGAGAAGAATGTCAGCAATTTGCACGATCTTTATCGCTCACGGTAGCCCATATTCAGGGAAGGAATTCCAATCGTCATACCGTGAAACGATATTAAAAGAATCCACTAAGCATTTTGTCTCACAATGAAGCTTTTATAATAAAGGAACCTTAACCGAAAAACTATAATATTATTATAGGTTAGTAACACTTTTGTGTCAAATCCTGTGCCTGGCTTCAGACAGAGCTATTTTTTATTTTAGATTGAGAGATATTTTCGTCGCTCATCAAATTTATTTAATGACTAGCAGTCCCGGCCAAATTAGTTTTTGCAAACCCCGTTATCTTTATAAACTTAAGCTGTTAGCAACGACGTCAATCGCGTCCCTTCCTGTCGTTCTTGTAAGTTAACCTTAAATGATAGACATAGCTTCGCGGAATCATTCTTTCGTACTCATTTTTTAGGTATCTTGAACCAGTTTCGCAGCATACGCATCTGCAACCCACAGAGTTGAAAAATTTCCCCCGTTTTGTTCACATTACCCGCTGTAACACTCCGCCCAACTCAGAAAGAATTTTTCAATTCAAACCAGTAGCTCCTGAGATTAGCGTGTTTAAACAAATAAACTATTCAGCTTTATATATAGTATAGATTAGTTACATTTTTAAGTAAAACCCTGTGCCTGACAGAGCTATTTTTGAGTCTAAGTCGCTCATAAAATTTATTTAATGATTCAAAGATGACAAGGCAGACGTGAGTGCCCCGTTTTATTTGTGATATTAAAAACAAATGTAACTGGATGAAACGATAAATGCACTGTAAGGTTTTAAATTAAAAGTACGACCCGACCTTGCTGGTGTCCTTCACTAGTTGGTTGATTGGTGCAGAAAACAAAATAAATTAGTTTGCATAATAGCCAGTTAGAAGAGGTTTTATTTCATATTACGATGTATCTTAAGCAGTTTTAATGAGAAAAGAGAGAGATCTTTACTTTAATATGATATCAAAGAATAATAAAATATCGTAGAAAACATACCGTGCTAACAGCATCTCCTTGCCAATACTGCAGCCGCGCCATGTGGGATCCACCACTAGCCCATACGCTGTCAGGTATTCCACCACGCCGAAGTGGGAAAAAACGTCAACACCACGCGAGACTAGATCGACCGCACCGAACAACTTCGCCCAAATTTTGTCATCTGTCTGTAATTGTTTGAACATTATTGAAGCTGATAGAGTCATCTACAATTTTTGTGACTCGAGTTATTTATATTTTTAGAGTCTAAAACAAATGCTGTCTGTAGTTTACTCGAATAGTAGACACTTAAATAAATCATCTTATTAAAACGCAGTATATTTTCGTTAAAGTATTTTGTTCGTGTTTCGTGGGAGTTAGAGTAGGACTGGTGCGACGTGAGAGTGTTGCGGCAAAGTAGCACTTTCAACATAGATTGGCTGCGATAAATGCATTATTACATAAATTAATAAACAGCCTCAATAATTAAAAATTCTACCCCAAGTCACTATTCAAATTCAAATTCAAATTCAAAAACATTTATTGCCATAAAATATATTTACAAACTTATAACTTATAACTAAATGTGTACATAAAAAGAATAATAATATAGTAATAAATATATAAGAGATGGCAATCGGTACCATCATAGGTCTCAGCTATGCTGCTGAATGCTTGTCACACTCAGCAGCGCTGGTTTTCAGACTGGCCCGCGCATAGAAGTTAAGGAGTGATTTTTAGTAAAGTGGTATAAAATAACAGTATCAAACATATACATAATAGAGCAACAATAATATTCCACGCGAACGAAGTCGCGGGCACAGCTAGTACAATATAAACCGAACATGTATAAAGCAATAAATATGAAAATCTAAATCTGTGCTTGTATAACAGTAATTTTCCTTACTGGACAGTAATTTTATTTATGTATGTATGTCCATAACGGTAAAAATATTGCACCGATTTTACTATATTAACTTTTTATTAATTTTTATTTTGTTTTTAAGTAGGAATGAAAATTTAATTTTTTACATAAAGTCCAGAATTGATAAGTTTTTAATATTTGGAATAAATAAATAGATTAAAGGGAAGAAAACCACCGGGGGTTCCAGGGTGGTCAGGGGGTCAAGGGTTTGAGGTGGACCATAATTGAACATATTGATTTTATATACAAATTATCATTATAGTACGTTTATGTATGTACATTAATAGAATGCCTACTTTTACTTGTATCTATTGTAATCAAAATTAAATTGAAGGTTCTTAACTTGACCCTCGACTATGTGACCCCCTCCTGGAGCCAAAACTGGATCCGCTCTCACAGATAGCCTCACCTTAAACTCATCTTTGTCATCCTTCGAAGCAACAGTTAGTACGTTAACACCAACAATATCCAGATTATCAGTTCTGTCCTCAACACAAACGATGGACAGTCCGTCTTTGATCGTATCGCGCCATAGTTTTTCTAAGTTCGCTTGCGCAGCTGGGTAATTTGAAATGCCTGTTGAAAACAATTAGCAATGTTGCTTTTACTCGATTTCGGTTTTATGTCGTCGAGAAAACAACTATGACATTTAAATACAACACTTTAACGGTTTAAAACGCGATATATTACTTAAACTTATTTGAAAATGGTTTTTAACTTCGGCCCGACGTTTCGGATGCTTTGCAGCAGCCGTGGTCACGAGGAGACGTGTACTACTCGCGTAAACTATAGACAGTATTTAACTATGACATTATTCGTACGAATACCCTGAAGTATCTAGACGAAATTTAAATAAAACACCTTAAACGGCTTAAAACGCGATGCATTAGTTAAACTTACTTGGACATTATTTTAACTACGAACCGATGTTTCGGATGCTTCGCAGTAGTCGTGGTCATGGGGAAACTAAAGATGGAGAGTGTCTCTGATGTGAAAATATAAACTTCTACGTCGCGCCGTAGTAAAAATAATTTAGAAATAAGTTTAACTAATATATCGCATTTTAAACCGTTCAAGTGTTTTATTTAAATGTGTACTACTCGCGTACACTACAGTCAGTATTTAAGAATAAGTTTACTACTATATGTTAGCGACTACTTCCGTTTCCTCGACCCGCCACCCTGGCTACTCCACAAATACCAAATAGTTTACACATAATAATACATCCGGTTCCTTTATTAGTAAAATAAATAGGCAGTGACTTCCGTTTCCACATCATTTGAATTTGTTAGAATTTAGCTTAATATATTATTTAAGTAATTAACCTTAGTTAAATAATTGAGTTTATATTTTGATTTATTTAAGACAGTGCAGATTTATTTTATTTATAATTGTTTTGATATTACGAATAAACAGCCGCTTAGTTTCCGGTGAAAGTATTAGGATAGGTGGGAGTATTTGTCAGACGGCTATATAACGGCTTGTAACGTTGATTGTGACACATTCTGTCTTGTATAACATAAGGCGTCACTCTGCTGGAATATACGTGTAAAGTGTCTACAGTGTGTTATTTTACCAACCTAGTCTACGTCTTAACACGTCAGAAGTGGGATAGTTGGAGTCAACATGTCTGGCCCATACATTAGCGGCTTAGGGCAAAGGAAGAGAAGACACAGTGACTCTGATTCCACGACCACCGACGAAGAAGAAATTCCTAACCACCTGCAAGAAAAAAACGCAGATTTTTTTTCTACACCCGACCAGAACGAGGATTATTCGACGTCATGCAAAAAACGTCGTGTCACACCAGCTGACGCCGAATTAATCCCAAAATTCCGGCCAGAAGACAAAAACAACAATGTGTCTGGGTGGTTACATAAGATCGACCAGCTTGGAGACATTTATGATTGGAGCAGCAAGGATCGGCAATTTATTATGCAGCTACGTCTTCGAGGAACGGCTAGAGATTGGTATGACGATTTAGACGACTACAACCTCACGTGGGAACAATGGAAAAACACCTTACAAACCGCTTTTCCTCGATCTACAGACTTTGTAGATAAACTAGAACAAATGTTAGCAAGGACGAAGGGAGATGGTGAGTCAATGACAAAATATTATCACGAAAAATTGTCATTGCTACGTAAGTGCAATATAACTGGAGAGGATGTTATTTCTTGCATCATTCGAGGACTACCGGCCGAATTAAGAAATAATGCAAAGGCCTATAAATGCGAGGCGTCAGAACAGCTTTATTTTGGATACTTGTCGTCGTTGGAAAACTTCAAGCGAGTTGAAGCAGCTAATTCAACACGCAAGTCTCAATGGAAGAGGGGTACTGCGAATACGAACCTATCAACTGGGGGACCGGTGCAGCTGGTTCCAAGGTTGTGCTTCGTGTGCCGGCGACCTGGACACGAGGCCCGAGACTGCAGGATGCAGCGCTGTGAGACCTGTCAACGTCCTAGCAATAGGCCGGCGTCCTGCTGGTATGCAACGAGCTCCTCGCGACAACAAGGTCAGCAGGTTAGCAACACTTTACATATTACTTATGACATTTATTTAGACATTTATAAGCGAACTGTGTTTGTAAATGGGGCGCAATTAATTGCTTATATTGATACCGGGAGCATACTTAAACTTAGTGTGGCAGACGAATTACAACTCGTGATGTATCCGTCGACAGTACAAATGAAAGGATTTGGGGGTAGTTGTTTACAATCTCTAGGGAGAAGTGAAATTGTAGTCTTAATTGACAATGTAGTTTTAAAAGGCAGTGTTGAAATAACAGATTGTAATCTTTCTGACATAGACTTAATAATTGGACAATCTATGATTAACCAAAAAGATATTAGTTTAGTTACTACAGCTTCTTCTGCAAGTTTTGTTAGATCACATGATCTTATGAATCTATTATCGGGTCTTAAACTAAGTAAAGATGAATTTATTACAAAATATTCATTGTTTTTAAAAGACAGAATCACTATACCAAGATATAGTTATGCATTGATTGAGACTTATTCAGACATCGATAGAATTAATCAACAAGAGCACACGTTTCTCACTAATGCAGTGTACTTTGAATTAGGGAATATGTCTTATTTTATCCCAGAAAGCATAATAAGTTCAAAACAGCCATTTTTGAAAATAATTAACGTAGGGAATGAAGATATTAAGTGGGAAAGAGATAGATTGATAGCTAGGGCAGAGCTTGTAGGAGATAGGGACTCCAGCAACACCAGGCTAAATGTTTTTATGGTCGACGAATCCGTAGGAGGTGACAGATCAGATATCACTCAGTCAGACATTGATGTAGGTAATTTGAGTGATGACGACATGAGGCAATTATTAGAGTTGCTGAATAGGTATGCTAATTCATTTGCTAGAGATACTAAGGATTTAGGATGCACAAATTTTATTGAAATGTACATACAAACCAATACCGATCAGCCGGTTTACTGCAAGCCATATAGATTATCTTATAAAGAAAACGAAATTGTTAGTGAAAAAATCAAGGATTTATTAGATGCTGGCATAATTAGAGAGTCTTACTCTGATTATGCAAGTCCGGTTGTTTTAGTAAAAAAAAAGGGGCGATTACAGCCCCCCCCATGATCCAGGCCTTGTCGCGGCGGGGGGCTCAGTAGTCGGTGCTTATTATAGTGGTCAGGTGCCTAATCGGCAACAGACTGTCTGTGGGTCTGCCGATTCTGGCCACTATTGCACGACGAAGCTAATTGGATCCATCGGTCGGTCTCCGAAGACGACGCGGAGACCGATCAAGGAGACGCAGCGCTCATCTCAGAGCGCTGCGAGCGTGCCTACGAGCACGGGAGGAGAGGTCAGTTGTGACCGGCGGCCTTTATGGCGTGGTATGGTGGTGAGGACACCACGGACGGCGGTAGTGGTGGACCGCGGCGCGGCGGGCCGGGCGTGGCGATGTGCTGCGCCTGGTTAGGGGTTTCGGCCCTCCGTCGGGCAAACCTGTTTCCCCGGGTGTGTGTCGTGGTTCATGTCTCGCGGCGCATCTGGGACCAGGGGGCTTGCCTTAATCAGCCGGCCCAAGAGGAAGGAAAACCTCAGAAAAAACCCTGAATTTCGCGTGGTGTTGGGGTGTCTTTGGACCTCTGCGCGACACCGCGCCCCCGCTTGCCCGCAGGGTGAGTGGGTGGTCCGGCAGTAACCGGGCCAGCTAGCGGCCAACCTCTGGCGACCGCCCGACCGCCAGTTGTATTAGGGTTACCCGGGTACAGGGCTCTGCCCGGGTGGACTTTGCATTTCCCTTGTAACAAAAGAAATGCCGTTGCGCCTTGTAGCGAGGCGCAACATTTGTTTTATGGAAAAGAAGAAGAATGGAGGAGAAACAAAAACAAAAAACAAACAATAAGAATAGTGGGAGTGAGGAAGAAGGAGGGAAGGAGTTAGAAGGAGAAAGGAGAGAGCTCAGAGTGGCGCTGACAAGATTGTCGGCGTCATCCTTGTCAAGGGCCAGTTGTAGTGCGGGGTCTTCCAGGGCCTCGCTAAATCTTTCCGATACGGATTCCGACCTTGTCAGCGTGTCGTCCGCTGCCTCGGTTGGTCCGGTCGGAGAATCAGGTGAGTCGAGCCGCTTCTGGCGCCAGAAGCGGAAACGACCACAGGAGGGAGAAAATTCGCAGGGGGATGGGTCTTCCACAGACACCCCTCTCTCTGTCGCGAAGAAGGCCGCAGGAAAGCGGCCGAGGGGGCGACCGCCAACCACTGGCGAGTACGTCGGGTTGGCGGCTGCGAAAAAGGCCCTCAATGAGGCCAGAAAGGAGGAGATCCGGCTCCAGGCAGAGGCTGAGTTAGCGGCCTCTGTCTCGGAGGCCCGATCGACGCGGCCCTCCTCTGTGGCATCGCTCGCGTGGGACGAGGGAGACATCATAGGCACTGGTGTCTCCGCGCCTCGTTCTGCCTCGGACGCTCTTAGGGGCATCGAGGAAAGTCTGGGCGTAATACAGAGCGTGGCAAAGAGGTCCCGAAACCTCAAAGGGACCTTTGTTCGCGCTCTGGGGGACGCAGTGGCGTCTATCAGGGACAATTCGTCTATCCTCATTCAAAGGACGGTGAGTGAGGAGACGAAGGCTCTGCGTGAGGAGAACCGGCAGCTCAGGGAGCAGCTGGAGAGGCTCACGCAGAGGGTCGAGGACCTGCAGAAGTCCTCCCAGCTCCCCAACAATTTGGAGGAGTTGGAGGAGGGGCTTCTGCGCAAGTTAGGGGAGCGCATCAACGCGAGGTTCGAAGGACTCGAGCCTCGGTTGAACCCCGCGCCCAGACTCAGGCCGCCATTGGCGGTCGACGGAAGAAGCGGGAACGTTCCTGCGGCCGCTGCAGCGGCGAAGAAGAAGAAGGGGCCAAAGGGTTCTGCCGGGGTGGTTCCATCCAGCTCTGCCACGACCCGCTCTTCCGTCCCCGCTGCCCCCGTCCGAGGGCGATCTCCGGCGAGGCTGCCGAATCCGGACTCCCTGGAGGGAAGCTGGGTCACGGTGGCCAGGAAGAGTCGGCTGGCTCGCAAGGAAGCGCCCCGGGAGTTGCCGACGCGACCACGAGCTCGGCAAGCTCCTAGGGCGAAGGACACGGAGGGGCGGTCGCGTCCGAGGAGGGGGGCCGGCAAGGCATCCGGCCCTCAACCGGCTAAGAAGCCGAAACTTCGGGTTCCTCGGTCGTCGGCTGTCGTCCTCACAGTCACGGAGGAGGCGTCAAAGGAGGGACTCTCCTATAGTGACGTCCTCCGTAAGGCCAGGGAGAAGCTGGACCTGAAGGAGATTACAGGCCTGGAGGGTGTCAAGGTCCGGAAGGCGGCAACTGGTGCCACCATTCTTCAACTCCCCGGAGCTGGGAGTGGTCTGAAGGCGGATGCTCTCGCGAGCAAGCTCGGGGAGATATTTGACGGCGGAGTCGTCAAGGTGACGCGGCCGCAGAAGGCGGTCGATGTCAGGCTTTCGGGCCTCGATGACTCCGTCACAAAGGAGGAGGTGGCCGCTGCTGTCGCCAAGAAGGGAGAGTGTTCTCCCTGGCAGGTGCGAGTCGGCGACATCCGGCGGGATCGCACGGGGCTTGGCGCGCTTTGGGTGCATGTCCCCGTTGGCTCCGCAAAGAAGCTGCTGGAGGGCAGACTTTTGGTGGGTTGGGTGGCGGCGAGAGTGACCCTGGGAAAACCCAGGGCACTTCGCTGTTACCGTTGTCTGGAGGCTGGCCATGTGGCGAGCCGTTGCGATTGCGCGAGTGATCGTAGCGGTCTTTGCTACAGGTGCGGTCAGCCCGGGCACTTGGCGGCCTCATGTTCGGCCAGCCCGCATTGCGCGGTTTGCGCAGCGGCTGGCAAAGAGGCAAACCATCGGGTGGGTGGTGCCAAGTGCTCGGCCCCCACCAAGAAGATGCGGCGGAGAGTCCCGGAGAAGCGGGCCGCCGTCCCTCCGAGCGGGACCGCGATGGAGGTTGCCGAGACCGTAGGGGCCTAGTATGGCCCTACGGTTCCTCCAGGCGAACCTGAATCATTGCGCCAGGGCCCAGGATCTTTTATTCCAGGGCCTGGCGCAGTGGTCCATAAACATCGCGGTGATTGCGGAGCCATACGCGGTGCAGCAAGGGGACAATTGGGTCGGGGACATTGGCGAAACTGTCGCCATTGTCGTCACCGGAGCCGGTGGCTCTCCCCCAATTGTCTCTTCACGGAGAGGCCAGGGTTGTGCCGCAGTGAAGTGCGGCCACATCACGGTTGTAGGGGTCTACTTCTCGCCTAGCAGGACTCTCTCGGAGTTCGAGGGGTTCCTGGCGGAGGTGGATGCCCTTGTGCAGTGGAGTCGCCCGAATGAGGTGGTCGTGGCGGGGGACTTCAATGCCAAATCGGCAGTGTGGGGTTCCCCAACCTCGAATGTTCGTGGCGACGTCCTTGTGCAGTGGATGGCCGCGCACAACCTGGCGCTCGTGAACCGGGGCTCGACGCAGACGTGCGTCCGCATAAATGGGGGGTCCATAGTGGACCTTACCTTTGCTAGCCCCGGGCTTGCGCGCCGCATCGTCGACTGGGAGGTGTTGGACGGGGAGGAGACGCTGTCTGATCACCGTTACATACGGTTCAGTGTCTCCTCTCAGTCCACGGCGATCGGGCCTGGCGTCCCTCCGGCGCAGAAGGGCCCTCGTTGGGCCCTGAAGTCTCTGGACAGGGAGATGGTGGAGGTGGCCTCGATAGTGGCCGCCTGGTGTCCAGAGCCGGAGTCTTCTTCGGTGAGGGAGGAGGTGGAGTGGTTCGGGGCGGCCTTGGAGCGTATCTGTGACGCTTCGATGGCTCGTTCCCGACCTCTTCCGCCGCGTAGGCAGGTGTACTGGTGGTCGGAGGAGTTGGCCACACTTCGGTCGGCTTGTGTGGTGGCCCGACGCCAGTACACCAGGTACAGGAGGAGACGGCGTGCCTCGCGGAACACCGAAGAGGAAGGGCGCCTCTATTGCCTCTATCAGGAGGCAAAGAAGGCCCTGAGGAAGAGGATCGCGGAGGCGAAGGAAAG